CTAAGACATTATAGCTCAATGCCATGTACTTTGTCTCTGAGTTTACGGTCTATTTTTGGTTGAATTTTTTTCATGCTAGTTTTAAAATAAGTTTTTAAAAATGATCAATTTGTTGAAAAAACGGCCGATCACCGGCCGCTAGCTTTGCAATACTGCATTGTTTGGGCTCTGAACTCGAAAACCGCGGCAGCCGGCAGGATGAGGAGAGAGATCGAACAAACAAATTAAACGTGCAGAATTCTGGCGCCAACTGGTTTCGATCGATCAAATCATCTATAGCTAGCGTATTCAAGGCGCAGACAACGTACTACGTATAGTACGTTACGTTACAGGCGGCGCTGGATCGATGCAGTTTTCTCGATCTGATGCAGTGATGCTTACCCAAGCGCGTACGTATATTTTGTCAGGTATAGTTTTTTCTTTCTTTCTTTCTTTTGTTTTTAGCTCAGCTGTACAAGTCGAATTTGTTGTTTTGTTTGGGTACGAATATGTATATATACGTGCACTGTATATTGTATTCATACGAGAGGTATTAGGTTAATTGTGTTTTATACATGCAAAGTTTATAGGAGACAAATAGCTAGCTGTACAGTAAATTAAATCAGAAACTTCCTCCCTTTCTTAGATACTCCCTCGGTTCCACAATGTAAACCTATCCATTTGTCGGGTGATTTCTAGCTAACAAACAATCACCCTGATTTTTTATACCCTTAGATTTACATCTAGCGGACAACAAAAGTAAATAACAAATATATATTTAATTACAGACTTTTATCAAAAGTGCAGTGCACTTACATATCATATCAACTGAATTTGCAAATGTAATTTTAGTTATATATGACTGTAATTTTATATTTTTAAGAAAATAATAAATACATATTTACTTACAGATTATCTTTTATCAAAATTACAGTGCACTTATATGTCATATCAACTGAATTTATAAATGTAACTTTAGTTTTATGTATATATATATATATATATATATAATGTAATTTTATATTACAATGTAAATATCGCTTTATATATACAGCCAAATTCTCCTCCATGCTCAATTGGCCAAGCACTGCACATGGTAAACATCCGATCGTGAGATTGAATCCTACCACCCCGAGGTTTGGTGGTAAGCTGCCTTAGTTTTTTGGATGTTGTTAGCACGAATCTCACCATAAATTGGAGGGTTGAAAAAATGAGTGATTTCCAACGGAAAATCTGTCGACAAAGATTTAGCAAAATCGAAATGTTTTGATATTTTCATCTCTCATTTAGATTAAATTTGGACACATGTATGAATCCATACATTTGGTCAAAAAATAGTAAAACGATGTTGCGGTATCCTCTAGCAAATTATCAATTGCTAATTTTTAAGGTGTACTTGGGCTGTATCACACATTTTTACGGTGTCCATGAGCAAATGTCATAAACTTTGAATATCATGTAGTAAATTTTGCAAAAAAAAAAAAGACTTCCACGGAATCCATGTGTACCAAATGAGACATGTTATTATTCTAAAATCAGCTAAGTAATTTTTATATATGGCTCAAACTAATATAACAATTGCAAGCTATGTTTTTTTCTAATAGAATGACCGTACAAGGTAGATGCAACATGGCACCAAACTATGTCCTCCCATTAACCATGTTTTGAAAGACGTAATCATGTATTCATGTTGACTATTTAGTCATGCATAGTGTTAACATATTAATTTGTACTAGCACTCTAGCAGGTACTAGAATATTTATATATGGACTGTTGTTGAAACCAAGTTGGTCCATGACACTCGCGGCCATTCAACTTGCAATGCCTAAATATACAGTTTTTTTTTTTTAGTTTCACATCAAGATACAACCAACTAATAATAAGTATATGCAAAATGAATTCGCTGCGTCACTTAGTTCTAGTAGCTAGCGTACGTACTGCACAGAGATCGAGCAAACTGCACATTGTATTGCAATACTTATGTCTGAATTTGTGGTGGTTTTGCTGGTGAAATGGTGATGATGTAAGCAATCACGCAAGCAGTGGCAGTAGCAAATTACGAGTACGTAATAAAACCATTATCAGTTTCCAAGCTGCCAGTAGCTTGCTAGCTAGCCCATTGTTTGGAAGCCTCCAATACCAGCGGAAAGTGACAATTGGTAGTGGTAATTATCGTTTTCCATTTTCCATATACGCACGGAGCATATGAGAATAATAAAAAAACACGAATATTAGGGAAAAACTAATATCAAATAATTAGAACGGGTGAGGCTTCAAATCTAGATCGTATAGTCCATCACCTTATGAAGTTATCTACATGAGAATAATACATGCATGCATGTGCTCACATGCATGATATGCTCGGCGATCGGATCTTGATCGAGCAATTAAATCATACACTAATCTGCTCAATTAATCACATGCACGATATCCATGGTGATTGATAATTAATCACGTTACGAATCTGTGTCTGTATTTGTTGGAACAATCAAATCAGACACGAACCGATCAATTTCATTTTGTTTTTCAAAAAGGATGATCAGTAGTTATTGAGATTATAGATGAAAATACTATCTCTATCCACAAATATAATAAGTATATTCAAACAATATTAAGTTAAATATTTTTAACATTAATTACCAATAGAAATATTTTTTAAAAAGATTAACGAATGTTGTTACAAGATTTATCGTGAAACACGTATGTAGTATCCGGTGATCAAAATAGCGCACATTAAAGACCATATTGATGTTTTAAAGTGCTTATTATATTTATGGACTGCGCGAATGCAGTTTCAACAACCAATAAATAATACGTGTCAGTTGAACATATCTTTTATAGTGAGTACTCATTTGACTCATCATTTACATATATACTCATTTCGTCGTAAAATATAAGAGATTTTGGGTAGATAAGATATATCCTACGAATCTTGAACAGGTTCACTTCCAAATTCATGAAAATAAGGATATATGTTATATTTATCTAAAATCGTTTATATTTTAAGACGAAAAAATTAAGCTGTATGTATGTAAGAGTATTCCGATAATTCTATATACCTGTGTTTTTAATTGAAGGTAAAAGAAAAATCAGTGTACGCATACTTACGGCACGGGCTCCGCTGACTGCTGTTCTATCACACGATCGAGTCACTCTCGAGCCTCGACTTACACACACACTAGTCAAATGCATGCATGCATGGCAGTCAAATTAAGCGACTCAAATGCATGGCAGCCAAAGCGCCGGTGATCTAGCTATGCAAGCACCCCCAAAGAAAAGGTCACCAATTCAGCACCCAATTAACACCTCCCTGTCTTCAATTCAGTGTACAAAATTCAAAGTGTAATTAATTATTACTACTACTTGCTGGAGTAGTAGCTACTAGATGAAGCCATCATTTCGGTGAATATAGTAACTGAATATCGCTGCTATTAGTCTATTTCTTTTTAATTGCACCGCAGACGCACACGCATACACTATTTCACACACAATATTACACTCACACGCCTCCGTGAATGTGTCCCCCTAACATATGCTTTAAGGGACGGAATCACGGAAACTAGTACTAGATCCATGTTCTTACTAAAATTCTATTGAAAACACACCTACGTGTGTGTAATATTGGTAGACACCAGGATTTAAACCCTGATAGGTGAAGTCATATATTCACAACCGTTAGTCACTTTATTTATATTAGTTGATGCCTTTTGGATTATGTATATAGTACACACCGAGTGTATTTTTAGTATAATAGTTTATCACATAAAGGGTGTATTTTTAAAGGTGAGTCCACTAGAACTCTTTAATATTATTTTATCTTTATTCTCATTTTAACCATCCAACCAATACTAATCCCTCCTCCTTGGTTCTCTCTCTCTTTTTCTCTCCATGTTAATAAAAGACAGCAGTCTTTTTACTAGGGATACAAGCGGTGTGGGCAAGAGGATTTTTTTTAGCCCGCTTATCTCATTTCTAGTTTATTTTTTCTTCTAAATTTTATACTACCATGTGAGAAATAAACTAGCAAGTGGGTTTTTATGTGGATAGCGGGACTACCCACTTGCATCCCTACTTTTAACCCTCCTTCTTAATCTCTCTGACTAGCTAAGATAACATTCTTTTTGGGGACAGAACAAATATATGCAATTGAATTATTTGGAATGGGAACTATAGGCTAAATTCTTGCTGTTTTTCCCAAATCTTATTCCCTTCTCATGTGGTGGAATTGAGTTACTTTATACTACAAATCTTATTGTTGCTTCCTTTTTAGCCATGCTAAATAATTACTCCCTTCGTTTCGAAATGTTTGACGCCGTTGACTTTTTAGCACATGTTTGACCATTCGTCTTATTCAAAAAATTTAAGTAATTATTAATTCTTTTCCTATCGTTTGATTCATTGTTAAATATATTTTTATGTAGGCATATAATTTTATATATTTCACAAAAGTTTTTGAATAAGACGAACGGTCAAACATGTGCTAAAAAGTTAACGGTGTCAAATATTTCGAAACGGAGGGAGTATATCCCACAATTGGTGGACAATTTCTTATGTACCCGGCCTCTCTCTCTCAAAAAAAAGAGAGATTAATTTCTTTCCAGAAGTGGCTATCTATTTTTGGCATCTTTTCCTAATATAAATGTTCTTGCTTAAAATATTCACAAAGTCTCTAAACACAAGCTAGCTCAGTAGCTCACTCTTATGTTGATCTCACACCAATGAACCAAAAATCTTTAGATATGAATGAGATATCACACATCAACGATATTTTCAATATCGCAAGTACACTAAATTTAGCTATCCACACACAAAAAAAATTATGTTACCATGGCCCACCTGTCATACAGGTGGTCAACATGAGCTGGGGGCAATGAGCAGGTGTACACGTGACGAAAATACAATGCCAGTGCTGCGTGGAAGAATTAGTAATTGTTTAATATTTAGCGCACGTGTCCCATGTGCGTCTTCCTCCTCCATACGCGTGTATATAAGCCATGGCCTCCTTGACTCCCCCCTCCCACACAACACAAGCTCCACATTTTCCTCCTCTCTTCTTCTTCTTCCTCCGATCGACGATTCGCTCTCTCGCTCTCGCTCGATTTCCGTTTCTTTGATTATTGTTGTCGAGTGTAACTGATCCGCCATGGAGGTGGAGTTGCCATGGGGCGCGCGGTGCGCGGCGGCGGCGTTCTTCGTGTCCTCGCTGTGCGTGGCGGCGCTCGGCGTCGTGCTCCTGCTCCTCAGGCGGTGGCCGTGGTGCGGCTGCCATGTCTGCCGCGCCTACCTGGCCGGGTCGTGGAGGAGGGAGTTCGCCAACCTCGGCGACTGGTACGCCGACCTGCTCCGCCGCTCGCCGACGGGCACCGTCCACGTCCACGTCCTCGGCTGCACCGTCACGGCGAACCCGGCGAACGTGGAGTACATGCTCAAGACGCGCTTCGACAACTTCCCCAAGGGGAGGCCGTTCGCCGCGCTCCTCGGCGACCTCCTCGGCGACGGCATCTTCAACGTCGACGGCGACGCGTGGCGCCACCAGCGGAAGATGGCCAGCCTCGAGCTGGGGAGCGTCGCCGTGAGATCCTACGCGTACAAGATCGTCGCCCAGGAGGTGGAGGCCCGCCTCATGCCGGTGCTCGCCAACGCCGCCGACAGCGGCGCCGTGGTCGACCTGCAGGACGTGTTCCGCCGCTTCGCCTTCGACACCATCTGCAAGATCTCCTTCGGCCTCGACCCGGGCTGCCTCGACCGGGAGATGCCCGTGTCGGAGCTCGCCGACGCGTTCGACGCCGCGTCGCGGCTGTCCGCCATGCGTGGCGCGGCGGCGTCGCCGTTGCTGTGGAAGATGAAGCGGTTTCTCAACGTCGGGTCGGAGAGGGAGCTCAAGAAGGCCATCAAGCTCATCGACGGGCTCGCGGCGGCGATGATCCGGGAGCGCCGGAAGCTTGGCGTCGCGAACAGCCACGACCTCCTGTCCCGGTTCATGGCCTCCTCCGGCGACGACGCGCGCGGCGCCGCCGACGACAAGTTCCTCCGCGACATCGTCGTCAGCTTCCTCCTCGCCGGCCGGGACACGGTGTCCTCCGCGCTCACCACTCTGTTCATGATCCTGTCCAAGAACCCCGACGTGGCGGCCGCCATGCGCGCGGAGGCCGGCGCCGCCGCCGGCGAGAGCGCCGCCGTCAGCTACGAGCACCTGAAGCGGCTGAACTACACCCACGCCGTGCTGTACGAGAACATGCGGCTGTTCCCGCCGGTGCAGTTCGACTCCAAGTTCTGCGCCGCCGCCGACGTGCTCCCCGACGGCACCTACGTCGACGGCGGCGCGCGCGTCATGTACCACCCCTACGCCATGGGCCGCATGCCGCGCATCTGGGGCGCCGACTGCGACGCGTTCCGGCCGGAGCGGTGGCTCACCGGCGCCGGCGGCGCGTTCGTGCCGGAGAGCCTCTTCAAGTACCCGGTGTTCCAGGCCGGCCTCCGCGTGTGCCTCGGCAAGGAGCTCGCCATCACCGAGATGAAGGCGGTCAGCGTCGCCGTCGTGAGGGCATTCGACGTCGAGGTCGTCGGCGAGAATGGCCGGTGCGGCGGCGGCGCCGCCGCCGCGCCAAGATTCGTGCCGGGGCTCACCGCGTCCATCAGCGGTGGGCTCCCAGTGAAGATCAGACGCGTTTAGACTTGCACACAGCATAGTAGACAGACTTCTTTTTCATTCACTGTATCAACAAATTGGATAAGAAATTAAATAGGCATGTACATAGAACAAAAAAGGGAGAAATCAATATACCAAATTTTTCATCTATTTTATGTTCACTATGTTTCACTTTTCTATGAATTTTCTGCAATTTGATGTTGATAGAACTTGAAATCACAAATTTGTCAGTCTTGTTACTATGAGCTCAAGTGCTAGTCAGTCTACTACAGTGTTCACAAGTTAGCCCATTGGTATCTTCTGAAAGATAATCTATCAGGTTTTGCTATATGGAAATGGGCTGGTTGGCCTTGTCGCTGTTCCAGAAATTGAGCAGATTCAATCATATATTTCATTTGGCAGGTTTCTTTACTTTTACTTCTTCTGAAGCCAAACCGGCCAGCTGCTAGGAAATTCTCCTGAAAATCCACCTTTATTTTTAAGCACAGTGAACTAACACTCCCTCCGTCCTATTCTAAGTGCAGTTTGAGCTTCTGTGTTCAACGTTTGATCGTCCATCTTATTTAATTTTTTTTATGATTACTATTTTTATTGTTATTAGATGATAAAACATAAAAGTACTTTATGCGCGATTTTTTTAATATTTTCATTTTTCTTAAAATAAGACGGATGTTTAAACGTTGGATATTGAAACCCACGACTATAATACTTAAAATGGAACGGAAAGAGTATGTTTATTGAATTGCCTGGTATATAACACATTCAACCCTAAATACATAAGGTTTGTCTTCGGTCAATTCCATTCCTTCGTAACACAGATTTTATTTTAGAGTTAAAAATTTGTCCCGCAAAAACTTTATTTTTGGAGCTATAGACAATCAACCTAATATGTATGTTTTTAATTAGAGCCTAGGAAATACTCCCTCCATCTATTTTTAATAGGCATATTTTTAAATATGACAAATTTACTTTTGATAGACATATTTCAATTCAACCACCTACCATCTTAATGACTTTCTTAGATTTAATGCATGAGTCTCTATTTTTCCGCACAAGATTAGCTACATGGGCATCGAGAAATGTATATATTAATGAAATCGCTTGTTTACAAGAAATGTAAATATTAATGAATCGCTTGTTTAGTTATTCTTGATCATTGTGCCAAGATAAAATATGACTATCAAAAATAGATGGAGGGAGTACAACCAAAGATATTAATGAAGGGCACTATAGTTATGTCTCCACACTAATTTGTGTAAGAATGACTAGAAGTAAAGTTTTTTTTTGGATGGTGAGAATAAATTTCAAACAGTTCTGAAAAAAGAACATGTAATAAATGTGCATACTTATGCAATCACCTGGAAGCAACCTCAAAACTGGGCCCTGTTTAGAAGATTAGCCAGGGCTAATTTTGAGAGCTAATGTTTAGTCATAAATTGGTAGACTAAACATTAGCCTAGGGTGGTATGTTTATATCCATGGGCTACAAGGCTAATAGGTGGAGAGAGAGAGTAGAAAGAGGGAGAGAGAGAGAGCTGTCTTTTGATGGTCCCCACACAAAATTAGTCCCATTAGCACCTCTTGGAGGGGCTAATGTTTTGAGGGGGGCTAATTCACTTTAGCCTCAAATTAGCCCACCTGTTTGGATCCTTGAGGGCTAATTCAGGGCTAAAAGGTGAGGCTAATAATTAGCCCATGTAACCAAACAAGGCCCTGGTATACTTGACTTAAAACACTTGGGCTGGCATTGTTTATTAATCCACACATTTTTACATATACTCTTTTCGTCTCAAAAAAATGTAGCATTTTTAGAGTTAGACTTGGGCACATGTATTAAGAAAAGTTGAAATGAATAGGAAATATTGCTACTACCCTCATAAAAGACTACAGTTTTAGATAAGAATTTGTCTAAAAAAAGTACTTTAAGATTATGGTTCATTATATCTCTTTAAGTACTTCGTTGTAGCTATCTACTATTAAACAATAATACTCCCTTCTTCTTCTTCTTCTTGTTTTCTTTCCGCACTAATAAATTGCACAGTATAGTCTTTTAGGATGTAGAGAGTATATTTTAGAATAAATTTTGAATGCTAAAATTTTGATTTCGGGATACGGTAGTACTTCACTTGATATACTCCCTGTTAGCTTGGTTATCTGTGTCATTGACTTACCTCTAGCCTGAATACTTTCTTCATGGAAATTGGCCAAGATCCATTGCTACTGTGGTCCATAATTAGCTAGGGATTTAATCTACAGCTGGACATTTAACAACAAATTTTGTACTCCACTCTCTGTGCTATGTTGAATGCTCAATCTAGAATACATACAAATGACCAAGAGTGTCAGTTTCAGACCGTTCTGATGAGTGGTCAAACGGTTACTCTGCAATATTTTTTGTCACCAAAACTAGCGTAGGAATCTACTGCACGTTCACTAATAGCAGCATGATTGTGCTCATGGTTGCAGATAAGGCTACGGTGAAAACGACCGATTCCTGTATTTGTCTCCATCTCTGAATAGATGCAATGCCGGACGGTGCTTATCAGATTAGTAGATTACGGTAAATTATGCTCTGAAGTTGCGATGTGAAAGTGAAATTGTAACTTTACCACCGCTTTCTCCTTCCCCAGTCATAAGATAAAAGAACAATTCTGTTACGGAGCCTAATGGATAACAAAGAAATTACCTTGAACGTGGTGAAAAGATGATTCCAAAGATAATATATGCCATGCATTCCCATTTCCCCTCTTATCCAGCGTCATTAGCCGTTGTCATTTTCTCCTACCCTTTTATTACGAGAAAATTCCACTGAATTGTATACCAATTTCCAAAGAGTATTATCAAGTTCATCTATCACTAATTCATACATGAAATAGTTTTTTTTTACATACATGATATATTTTAGAGATAAATTTTACTGACAGCCGCTTGAAAAGTGGCCGAGTTGTTAATATTCTGATAGCTTGTCCTTGTCAGCTGCGTCACTTGATCACAACTCATCACCTGCTTAAACCTGATGTCTCCTTCACTATTATATTACTCGCTTCCGACATAATGAGTCACTGATGGGATTATTGAAACACGATGTGGGCAAACATAACGTCAATATTTAACACTAATTCTGATCCTAGTTGATACACTGCCCACAACGTGATCCATCCCGATGCTGCCAGCACGCCAAGAATCAGACAGGAAACTTGTGGCCACAGTGTAGAGCCAAAGTCCATAATACAGATATGGATAAGAAATCAACCAGTTGTTGTTCCAGATCATGTCCAAAGAAAAGAGCACACTCTGAAGCATGGCAATATGGCATGTGTGTTCCTGATAAAGAACAGGCCAGTTGATGATCACTTGCTCTTTGCTCAAGCTTGTCTCCATTTTTTGTCCAGGCATATCAAGAGAAAGAAAAGACGTTATCACATCTTCTAGAGAGAGATGGCAGTGGAGCATCTGCAAAGGCTAGTTGTTCACAACTTCTTCAGGCACGGGAACACTTTTTTTTCGCAATTCAAACGATGGTTAGAAAGTTGAAAGGATGGCAATGATTTGTTCTACACTTTCCAACCGTTGTCCATTACTGCAAATATCACTCTCAAATGAGTCCAATTCATCGTACTGGGACAGAGAGATAAGTCTGCTATTATTTTCAGATACGGTGGAATAACTGTATTTGTTTTCGTCTCTCGGTCAGATGTTATGCCACCTGAATGTGGCTTGAACTGTTCTCATACCATGATTTTACTGTCTCTTTCTCGTTTCCCGGTTGAATTAATCACTAACCAAAAGAGTTTAGATACTGAAGCATCAAACAAACTGGTGGTTTTCCGGAAGACGTCCAAAGAAAATGACCTCTGTCAATTCACTTAGCAGCATGGCATGTGTTCTTGCTAATGAGCTGCTGGTCAGTTGCCTGAAAAGTCTTTTGCTTGCTGTGCCCAATATGTTCACAACTCTCGTGACTAGTTCTAAACTGTGACTAGTCTTCACTCTTCAGAAACAAACAAGAAAAAAGACTGTGACTAGAAGTTTCTTTACCTGAGAATACATGTGCACTTGAGGAATCAAGTGGCCTGAATGCAAAGTAAAAGGAGGCACTAACCTGGCCTTAATTTCTAGCTGCTCTGTGCCGTCCAAAATGAGCACGCAGGCCTCACTTTCTTCTCATGCCATCTACTACAGCATAGAGATTGTGCATGCTGACTGTGCCATCATGTAATTATCAACTACTAGTAGCTAAGCTAGTGTGGATTATGCTAATTAAGGCGAAATAGCTCTGAACATATAGGGGGAAGCTTTGCTAGCTGGAGATGAAGCTGCAGAGATTCGTTTCAGTATATCATTGTATAGAAACTGGATTGTATCATGCAATATATGATTGATCTGTAGTATCATGGTATAGATCAATCTATATATGGAGATTTGATCGCCTTGCTTAATTTGGCATCTGGAGTGATATGGTACTCTACCAACAAAATCATTGGCTGATCTGTTCTTGGGGTGTGTTGATATTGTGCTAATTAACTAATTAAGCCCATAAGAACATATACAATTACTGGTGTATTCCTGGATGAGACGCAATTGACCGATCGACCATCACTCTGTGAATTAGTCATATTATAGGTATCTAATCTACCCCAGCTATAGCATTCAGTCAACAATCTTAGGTCAATATATCAATATCTATTGCATGATGAACACTCAACTCGAGTTTTCAGTTAATTAATTATCATTATCGATCGTCTGTACCTACCTCGATCCATGGCATATTGGCACATGGGAGGCAGAGACATTTTTTTTTTCTAAAGAGAAACTGAATAATAATGTAATGCAGTGGAAATTAAGCGAAGTCTGAATAGGATATCCAGAAAAAAAAATCAGTAGCATGGAATCTGTAACCTGGGGCACTGTAACCTGCAACAACCACACGTGGCATTTAAACAATGAATTGAATCAAGGAAATCAATCAAAAATGCACAAGGATGGCATAGTGGTAGCTTTCTGCCTTTCAGGACGATGAAGTAGTTGAGTTTTATTTGGAATGAAGTTTAGCATTCAGGAAAGAATATCCTTCTCCCTTGCACATATGCAAACACGTGTTGTCCACATTGCAAAATTTGCAACTACTACATAAAAATGAAAAAGAGGAAAACAACAGAAAAGACAGACACCATAGTCATTCTTCTTCCTGTTACTAATTTGTCGGAGGATTAGTAGAAATCATTTCTTGGTGGGAGTACATGGCAGCAGATTATGCAGATATATATATGGTCAAATAGGATGAGGTGTGGATGCAAGGTATATACTTCCCCCAACGGATTAACGTACGGCGGAGTTGGTGTGGTTTTGGGTTTTAATTAATTAGCTGGCTGGGTGACGCGGCACAGCTTAATTTGATAGCGATATGAGTGACCCACAAGAAGAAGGCGGCGGCGGCATGGCCGCATGGGCATCCATCCTTTTGCCGGCGGACGGCGGCCGGCCGGCGCCGCCCGCGGAAGCCGGAGATGCGCATGCTAACTACTCCCTCCGTTTCTAAATATTTGACGCCGTTGACTTTTTTAAATATGTTTGACCGTTCGTCTTATTCAAAAAATTTAAGTAATTATTAATTCTTTTCCTATCATTTGATTCATTGTTAAATATACTTATATGTATACATATAGTTTTACATATTTCATAAAAGTTTTTGAATAAGACGAACGGTCAAACATATGCTAAAAAGTCAACGGTGTGAAATATTTAGAAACGGAGGTAGTAGGTAGCTAGGTAGGACCAAGACATGCGACGGTGTGACTTTTGTGTACATGTTTTGAACAATAACACGGTCATCTTATATAGAACTTTCACTAATATTTTGAAAATGTTCTAGAGCCAATCTAACCATATCATTTTTTGATTAATTAAAACTTGAATCAAAATATTTAAAGAGTGTTAGCTGCACGTATTTTAAAACATTTATTATTTCTTGAGATAGTATATAATACATTCGTTCTTTTGTGCGCGAACACGCAAAAGATTACACATCAATATATTAGAAGAAACGCGCAAAAGATTATAAAGATCATGTGTGTGTGAGGGAGCTGATCATTTTCACGGCGGAGGTAAAGTGGTACAGTCACATGTACATACACTCATTGGACCATATGTGCATATCTCACACATACTGCACGTAAAATACGTATGGTGCATATGCCAACGTGAAATAGCATCAACGGTACAGGTAGCCACCAGCTACACGTAATAATTCCCAATCAATTAAACGAGACGAGTCATTAGCAAGCATCAACATTCAACGGTACTCCCAAAAAAAAAAAAAAAAACGGTACTACCATCATATCGACCTCCCAGCCGTCTATGTATGCGTGTACGTATGCACGATCGTACGAGATTTTCTACTATACATCCTTGCGTCAGCGTCAACAAAGACGGGCGTATACGTTGCATCATCTATCTATCTATATTGTGCCACGAGGAAATTGGCAATAGATCGGGCCATGAAATGGGCCCAATGACAGACTTAGTAAGGCCGTGCGTTACCTCGCAATGTGGCCTGGTTAGGCCTTGTTCGGATAAACCGAAATTCCGGCCCATCTACTACTAAAGTTGAAGCCCACAAAAATGACCGGGCCGAAATTGAGGCCCATAAAAACGAGACCTAGTTGAAGGCCGAAGCCCACAGACGCTTCCATCCTTCCAACGAATCCACGCCGTCCATTCGCCATCGCCGTCGGGTATATAAACCCTCCCTCCGCGGCATTCCACCCTCTCACCCACCCCCAAACCCTAGCTCCCCCCGCGCCGCCGCCGCCGCCGCCGCCATGAAGCGCAACCCACGCGTGACGAGCTCCCGGCGGAAGTGCCGGAAGGCGCACTTCACGGCGCCGTCCTCCGTCCGCCGCGTCCTCATGTCCGCCGCCCTCTCCACCGAGCTCCGCCACAAGTACAACGTCCGCTCCATCCCCATCCGCAAGGACGACGAGGTGCAGGTGGTGAGGGGGAGCTACAAGGGCCGCGAGGGGAAGGTGGTGCAGGTCTACCGCCGCCGGTGGGTGATCCACGTCGAGCGCATCACGAGGGAGAAGGTGAACGGGTCCACCGTCAACGTCGGGATCCACCCCTCCAAGGTGGTCGTCACCAAGCTCAAGCTCGACAAGGACCGCAAGGCCATCCTCGACCGCAAGGCGAGCGGCCGCGCCGCCGACAAGGCCAAGGGCAAGTTCACCGCCGAGGACGTGGCCGCCGCCGGCGCCTCGCTCCAGGAGATCGATTAGGAGCTGGTTTTGTACCACCTTGTCAGTTGTCACTCCTTCCTCTGTTACAAGTTTATGCTACTTGCTTGAAAGAATTATTATCATAATCTATCTTTTCTAAGAGTTTTGGAACTGATATTTGTCTTCCATTTTGATAGATTAAAAACTCATTATGTGTTAATTGATCATGGTTTAGACGTTTACTGCTATATTTGTCTGTAATTGAAACTGCAATTAGGCAGCTGCAATGGAAACATGGAATTCGTCAGGGAGATAGTAGATTCATTCATCTTTCGAAGAGTGTCAGTAACTAATAGTAGGATAGTAGTATCATTTAGCCATCATTTTGGTTATAGCTAGAAATATTATCGTTAATATTAATCTTGGGTTTGTGGATGCATTGTTACATAATTTAGGGGTGATCTGCTCAAGTGCTGATACAATTAGTCATTTGTATCTGATTGTGCACAAGAGGTTTTGGTCGTGTGTTGTGCAACTTCAGGGAGTGATTTGCTCGAGTGCTGATACGAGATTATGCAAAAGAAGCAGCATTAGATCAGTTGATATGTTGGCTGTCCTGCATACCGACATACAGTGTTGTTGCTGCTAAGTTTTGGTTTGGTTCCAGCCAGGGTTTACCAAATTGTTTGGAGTGAGGGTAGTGCCACCCTATACATCATGGTTTCAAAAACTGAAAAGGTTTACCGAACGTGGTAACCGTGATAGTTGCACACTTGCATGGTTTTGTAAACCTTCCAGCTCCTTGTTAGGTTAATCCCAAGAGATTGATACCTTTAATAGACGTGGAATTAATCCTCTTGTGAGTTGGATTAACCAAAAGGCCTTAATCGTATATCACCTGGCTGAGATTGATGTTGGCAATAGGTGTGCCTGAAGCATATATTACCTGGCGTAATCGTATATCACCTGGCTGAGATTGATGCTGGCAATAGGTGTGCCTTAAAGTACCGGTTATTTTTTCATTGTGCGGAGATGGGAAAATGCCTATAGGTATCGGTTCTAAATGAACCGGCACCTATAAGACCGATCTCTATGATGGTTTTTATAGCAGAGGTTCCTATAAGACCGATCTCTATGATGGTTTTTATAGCAGAGGTTCATGTCGGCATGCCTCGATGTATATTTAGGTCATGTTTGATAACCTCGAGATTGTCAGAAATAATTGGTGAGTGAAAAAATTGGATTTCTCACCTTATTTTGGCATCTAATTTAAATTTTAGATTTTATAACTACGAATTCTGAAGATTCTGAGTAGAAATTTGGTCTATTGATAACGGGCCCGTAAGGGCTTCATTTTGGTCCAAACCCTGGTACAGGCCCTGTTTAGTTCACGCTAAACTTTCTCTAAACCCTCAACTTTTCATCACATCGCATTCAAATCTTTCCTACTAGGTCCGGTTTAGTTCATACTAAACTTCCTCTAAACTCTCAACTTTCCATCACATCACATTTAAAATTTTACTACTTACATAAACTCTTAATTTTTTTTCTAAACTATCAACTTTCCCCAAACTTCTCAAATTCAGGAGCTAAACACAGCCTCACATAAACTCAACTTTTTTTCCAAACTACCAACTTTCCCCAAACTTTTTTCTAATTTCAGAAAATAAACACAACCATAATGGGCCTTGGCACTAGCTCATCCTGCCAGGCCTGGCCTACTACTACTAGGTAGTACTATACTTACATGAAGGTAGATTGGTACTACTCCGTCCCAAAAAAAAAGGCAAACTCTGTGTTTTTTAAAAAAAATTTATAATTCTTATTTTTATTGTTGTTAGATGATAAAATATGATTAATATTTTATGTGTGACTTGTCTTTTTAATTTTTTTCATAATTTTTAAATAAGACGGACGGTCAAACGTTGGGCATAGAAATCAGGGTTTGTCTTTTTTTTTGGGACGGAGGTAGTAGGTGGTAGCCACCTAGCCATACCTACCCTGCAGCACAAAACACTCATGGATGACAATTGGCAAACAAATCATCGATCATTTTGTATTTTTGTCGACAAAGATGCCTTTTTCTGAAAGGATGAAAGCAAAACATCATTTTCCGGAAATTCATTAAAAAAATACATCATGTGGCTAGCAAACGAGCAATATAGTCAATTAAGCAATATATATAAATTGTTCGAAGTGATGTAATGGTCCAACCAAATATGGATCGATAATGTGGGAGCCCTAATTAACGATCGTGTCAATCATTCTATATCATCCACAAGAAACAAAAGGCCACGTCGGTGTGCCTACCGGAGTACCGGACCAAATGAAAGATGCATGATTAGCTTGCAATGTATACACCGTGCACATCAATTAATAAATTTCAATAAAAAAATCTATACAAAATTGTATATTGTACATATACTTCCATACTTCCAATATTAATTAACTGTATCATCCTCAAATTCATTATATTTTAGCCAACAAAAGGATATAAATTGGTTAGAATTTTGTTTTCTTGCGCTCCATATATAAATGATTTTGAAGATGAGACTTTATACATAAATGTGATACTATTAAAAAAATTTTAGAATATTTGGTGAAGTTTGTTAGTTTATGTGTACGGTGTGGATACGAGAACGCTTGTATGCATAGATGTTACCTCCCCTATAGCTGCTTAAAATGAGTATAAATGGCATAGTAGCAATGACTATAGTTAATTATGCCGTTCCCAACATGCATGATTAATTCACTAAATGCCTTTTTTCTCTCCCACAGTTCACAATCTCAACAAATCTCCAACATCTTGAGCCGGCTTTGAAATGTGCATCTCGAACGGTTTTGTTTCGATTTCGTTAAAACTCATTTGAAATAATTAGCAATAATCAACGTCTCCATGCATGTAGCTCAAAATTCACTAAGAGTAGTACAGTCAACTATCAGCTCCAAATTATCTAGTTAATTTAATAGCCGATTCATTCAATAGTTACCTATAAACGTATACTCCCTCCGTCCCTAAAAAACGAATCTAGAACCGAATATGACATATTCTAGTACGATGAATCTAGACATATGTATGTATAGATTCGTAGTACTAGGATGTGTCACATCTGGTACTATATTGGTTTTTTATGAGACGGAGGGAGTACTGCACAATAATTAGTTGGTCCCACCTGTCATATACACATGCATCTTGAAGTCCATACTGCATTTGGCTATAAATATGTAGCCCACTGCTATTCCCTCTCCTATTTTATTTTCTCGAAATATATTTATAGTAGCTTATAGTCTATAATTGTACCTGCTCTAACCAATCAAGAAGGTAAACCGTGTACTTTCTCATAACTACCAGGCTATTATTAAGATTTCTCCTAGTCCATGCGTCTGCCAGCTAGGAAAATACTCCACTAGGAGTGCTGGATACTACTGCTGATAGTGGTAGTACATTCTTACTGCATTGCAGTACATAATTAATTATACTAGTACACAGCTGCAAATTAATTATGTGTTCGTGCAGCGCGTGCCAGCTTAGAAAAAGGTAACTAAGGCTGTATTTAGATCTAAAGTTTGGATCTAAACTTCAATCCTTTTTCATCACATCAATTTGTCATACACACGTAACTTTTCAGTTACATCGTCTCTAATTTCAACCAAAATTTAAACTTTGTGTTGAACTAAACACAGCCTAAGGCCCTGTTTGGGGGAGCTTCTCCCAACTGCAGCTTTTCCCAAAAGTTGCTTCTGCTAGAAGCTGCCTCAAACAGTCCAAAGCTTCTGAGAATCTGTAGAAGAAGCTAGAAGCTGGAGAAGCTGGGTTTCAGAGCTTTTCCATATTCTTAGAAGCTGGCTACCAAACAGCTGCTTCTTAGAATCTAAAACTCTTTCAAATAGACCCTAAGTGAGCCCTACTCCTCGGACCACGGATTGTGCCAAAATGACAACTCCCATAAGCAAACAAAATGCTAGTTCTACTACCAATGGATTAATCAACATGTGCCAAGCTTGGGAAACTGCCTGGACTATACGCATCCAACCGTTTTCTACGCTGTTCCCAAAAAAATAATTAAAAAAAAAACGTTTTCTATGCGGAGCAGGTAGGTTTTGGAAAAATTTGCCAGTCAAAAACTCCAACTTTAGCTAGTCAAAAACTCCAACTTTAGCTAGTCAAAAACTCCAACTTCTATCTTAAAATAGAACTATAGACAGACAGACGGTGTCGAAATGTGTCATCAAGCAACACGTAATTTGTTACGGTAAAAAACACCAAAGTCACTTTGGAATGTACTTATTTACAAAGCATCAAAGGTATGCTAATCCAATAGCAATTCTACATCAGTTAAAAGCTTTTATCACCATTTCACTAACCAGATCATCCCCAGCCATTACTTTTGAGATGTGAAACCAGGTGTGATGCTGATTGCTGGGAATCAACCTAACACAAAATAATCTTGTCGTATATGTATGTGTATATATGTGTGTTCCCCCCACTAATTAATGTGCTGTAATCTAACCAGGCAACATCATTAACTCTCCTCAATGAGGCCATGAAACACAATGCACCAACCGATCCAGTCCAGAGACATCCACACATTCGTCAGCTCGCTGGCGTCCACGGTCGTTGTATGCACATGAGCATGACCGGCAAGGACAGTGACCATTGTTGACTTGACAAGCTATCCAGTGGCTACCCTCTCTGACTCAAAATTTAGCAATTTACAGTATTAAAAGTTTACTCCATCAGAACTCTTTCATCTAATTTATCACCATAATCAATTGTAATTACCTTTTACAAACTTTTATGCTATTTCCTCCTATCAACTAATCACAATAATTTACTATTTAGGGCTTGTTAAGATTGTAGTCAAAATAAACCTTATCAAATTTTGGCAATATCAAAATATTAGTAAATTAACAATATTACAAAGTATTGTAGGATTCCTTATGTATTTAACAAAGTTTAGTAAAAAAAACTAAATATATACATATTTTTTATAACTTTAAAAATGATATGTTTTGAAATGGTATCAATACGAACCACCCATTGTTTTCATCCGTCTTATTAATAAAAATAAAAGAACTCAAGAAGAGGAGTACATCTTCAGAGACCAGAAATGCCGGCAAGTCAATTTCCATCCAAAAATCTGCATCAACCACTCAGTTGCTGCCACCCTGCCACTGCAGAAATTACGATTCTGCCCTCGCCAAGAACTATTATAACTTTGTTGCAATTTGCAAATGGATGAGATTGGTAGGTAGCTATGGCAGCTGCTTCTTCCTCGCGCGAACAAATCAATTCTCAGAATAGAATATAATAACCTCCCTTTAATTGCTGTATTTTATTCCCTAATCTCACTGTTTACAGCGACGCAACTCCGATTAAATTCGCCCACCCGTCCAGCCATTTCTACTCGTCTTCCTCCTCCCTCCACCTTAAACCTCGAGGAGTCAAGAATGGGGGTGGACGCTGCTCCGGATCGCATGGACGCGGCCTCTTCTTGGATGAATCCTCCGGTTGAGGTCTCCTCTCCGGTGGCCGGCGGCGGCGGAGGAGAGGATGGGGCAGCGACCAAGCTGCAGAAGGTGTACCGGAGCTACCGGACCCGGCGCAAGCTCGCCGACTCCGCCGTCGTCGTCGAGGAGCTCTGGTAAATTCTCCACAGATCCTACCCCAATCTTTCTTCTCCCTTCCCTTTTCTTTTCTTTTCTTTTACTGATCCTTCTGAAGCTTCTTGCTCCGGATTTGTTTACTGTTCGGTTTCGTGGAATTTATTCCATAATCTAAAAAAAACTGCTTGATTTTTAATTGAGATGGTTTGTGGATTGGATTGTTGATGAAGGTGGCAAGCGTTGGATTTCGCGCGGCTGAGCCACAGCACCGTCTCCTTCTTCGACGACCCGAAACCGGAGACCGTAGCGTCGCGATGGAACCGCGTCAGCCTCAATGCCTCCAAGGTCTCGATCTCGGCCTCTCCTTCCCTTTCTGTGCAACCACTTCGCTACCACCACAAACCCTCGAGAAAGCGATTTCTTTTGGGTTTTACTTGGACCAAGTTTCATTGACTGCTCTTCTGTGTGTTTGTGTTTGTTTGACTGCTCTTCTGCGTGTTTGTGTTTGAAATTGTTGTGTAAAAAAATTGTGCTTTGATGCAGGTGGGTCAGGGTTTATCCAGAGACGGCAAGGCTCTGAAGCTGGCATTCCAGCACTGGATCGAGGCTGTGAGTACAAATCGTACAGATGAACTGATGTTTTTTTAGTATAGCTGTACCAGGATTCTTTAGCTTTAGATATCACTACTTTTGTTTCACAAATGTGAAAAGAGGCCGCTTTCGGTTATGGGTTGACTTGGACCTTTTCAGTTGTGTGTGAACATCGATCATAAAAGCTCCATATCTTACTGTCATAGAAGCTTCTGTCCATGTTTATTTAAGTTCATTGTGCAAACCTTGTGAATGCAACTTGATTACCCAGTGTTTACTTGTTGTATAGATTGACCCACGGCATAGATATGGTCACAATCTGCATTTCTACTATGATGTTTGGTGCCAAAGCCAGGCCGGCCAGCCATTCTTCTACTGGTAAGAAGTTGGTTGTGTTTTGTGTGTTTGCATTTGCAAAGTATGTTGTTGGAAGAAATGGGTTGGATGTCTGTGACACAAGAGATTTGCAGGCAGAGTAATAGATTCAGTGTTGCACTCTTATCTCAGAAATTTCAGTGAGTGGTTTGGTTGTGCATTGAATTCAATAATCTTTATGCATATGTAGGCTTGATATTGGGGAAGGAAAAGATGTTGACCTTCCTGAGTGTCCCAGAGCTCGCCTGAAGAAGCAATGCATAAAATATCTTGGTCCGGTAAGATCATGTCTATAATTGTTCCCTACCTTAGTTCAAAATCGCGTATACTGTTGAAATACTAAGAAGAGCTGCATACTCCCTCCTAGTACAACAAGGGGTCACATTCCCTCCTAGATTGCCTTTTTTTGGGACGGAGGGAGTAGGAGTTAAGGCTTTTTGTCATGTGCACCTTTTAGAATTTTATTGAACTTAAAACATGTGCTATGTCTCTGTGTTGCTATTATTATATTGTTGTGCAATTAAGCTATACACCCTGCAAAGCCAGAGGTGCACAATCCACAGATCTGACTATCAATATATAATACCCTAGCAACTAGTAGCATACCCTGGCCTACTTCCATTCACACAATATTTCAGTTTTTCATGCTAACTCATCCTCATATTTGACACCGTAGAAAGTTGCAGCATGAAACTATTTTATTTTAATGAAATAATGTTACATGAAATCTATATTTTCTGGATTTTTGCAGCAAGAGCGTGAGCTCTATGAATACATAGTTACAGAAGGGAAGATTATCCATAAGCACTCTGGAGAACCACTTGATACAAGCCAGGGTCCTAAAGGGACAAAATGGATTTTTGTTATGAGCACAACAAAGAAACTTTATGCTGGCAAGGTAGTTTTCCCATTCTGGCAAGTTGTTCATGTTGTTGCTGTTGAACTAAATTATGTTCAGCTAGTTTACCATTGCTATTTTTATTTATCATAAGCTGATTTTTCTCTATCCAGAAAGAGAGAGGTGTATTCCAGCACTCAAGCTTTTTAGCAGGAGGTGCTACCATAGCTGCTGGGAGGTTTACAGCAGAAAATGGAGTTATCAAGGTAGAGATGAAGAACTATGTGCCCTGTCAATGTTACTATTTATGCTCAGTGTTTTCCTTTATTGATATGACTGCTTATGTTCTTACATTGTGTCCACATCTGTGATCTAAAAAGATTGGTGATTCAGTTGCTAATAGTACTTCAAACAATTCTTTCGTGTTTCTGGGATTGCCATGAATAACTATTTCAGGCTTGCCTCCTTTTGTGAGGGAGATTGGAAAATGCCTGAAGATTGGATGTATTTTAGAAACATATTCTCGAGTTTTAAATTTTGTATATTTGATCAAACTACATTCTTTTAAACATTTGGCCATTACTTTCCCATCCTTCTGCTTACTAGCGCATGGTAATCATTCTGATAATTTGTTTGTCTTGTTCTCCTGCATGTTGATTGGGTGCATCGCTGCTTTCTGCTATTTTCTGATGATCACTTTCTGATTTCAGTCCATCTGGGCCTATAGTGGTCACTATAAACCAAGTGCAGAGAACCTCGCCAACTTCATGAACTTCCTTGAAGAGAATGGAGTTGATCTGAAAGAAGTTGAGGTATGCCATTTTCAGGCCCATGAAACCTATTATACCCCTATGAAAGCAAATATCAGGTGGCTTCAACTAGCTTGTTTTTGTGTATTCAGGTGCGCTCATCCACCAACGAAGACTATTATGAAGATCCAGTGCCTAATAAACAGAACCCTCTTGCTACCGTCATGGAATCCAATCCTCCACAATTGATTCTCCCTCAGAACATGATAGAAGAAGATAAGGCATCTGAGCCGTTTTCGCAAGCTGAAGGTGCCGAAAGCGATAACGTTCCTAAAGTGCAAACAAAGCCAACCTACCAAAGAACCCTCTCAGGTGGTCTGAAAAGCCCTAGAGCTGCTGATGTCCCGCGGGAAGCAATTCTCGAGAGGGTGAAATCGAAGGGAGAGTCGAAATCCTATCAGCTCGGGCACAGGCTCTCCCTGAAATGGAGCACTGGGGTTGGTCCAAGGATTGGATGTGTGAAGGACTACCCAATGGAGCTCAGAATGCAAGCACTGGAGATGGTAAACCTGTCACCAAGGGCGTCGACTCCATCGCCGTCATGGAGGCTGCCAGCATGCCTCTCACCTACACCCAACTTACCATCATCTCCTCTTGGACCAATCCAGACTTCACTGCCCCAGCCAAGTTAGAATAGCATATGAGTATGTAACTAGTATGTGCAGCAGCGAGACACCATTGCAGAATTGCAGTTAAGCTCTTGGTGTAGAATGCATTGGCCAGAGTCAGATGCTAGAGGTTAATGCCTGCTGCTTTTCAAAGGTTATGTGGATCTATTTGTGCCATGAATGAATCAATAAGATTAGTAATATAAATCCTCCATGTTTGAATTTTGTTTAATATAACTCTTGCTTGCTCTTTGTTTGCCGACATTAACTGTCCCAGAAACAGCTTGAGCACAAAAATTTCCTGTCAAGCCAAAATATTTTGCAGTTGATGTGATAGAAAGTTTGATTATGACAATAAGGAAAAGCTCTGAGGGAAGAAACTGAAAACCATGACCGATTTAACAGGGAAGGTTGCTCAAACAGTAAATGGACAAATCGTACTGTCAACTCAGAGCACAGCAGCAGAGAGCAATTAGTAAGCTAGTGAGATTGTCAACAGAAACTGAAAAAAGAAGGAATGGAAATAAGATAAGATAGAAGTGGTAGAAGAACTCAAGTTTTTTTCACATTACCACATCCATCATCTTACGAGTACATTCAGTCTACTCTCTAGACAGGCTAGGCATTTTTCCAAGTACATCAGAGATATCACTACATCAGTTATTCAGTTTACATTCATCAACTTGCTCCTGATGTAACTTGAAAAGTAATCCCAATAGTGGATACTTAGTCACCACTAGCACAACCTTTGCAACCACAGTGGACACACTCTATCACCTGTTCTTCCCTTAGGTGCTTAGGAACCCTGCAAACACAGGTGGTCGCAAAGTTGTGGTCTCGTGTCTGGATACAGCGCAGGCAGCAGAGACGCTCATAGCCTTGCTGCAATTATCCAATGCAAAAAAACTCAGTCAGTTGGCCATGCAAATTGGACCACAACATTAAGACTAAATATATGAGGTCCAATGTGCATGTGAGATTTGTCACTTCAGAGAGATCAAAGATTTTCATGGACTTAACCAATTCAACCATTAGCAAAATGTGGACTGCAATCCCAAATCAGTTGCAGATTGTTTCATTTCTATTCATAGAGGAATAATCATTTTTCCCTGGAGAAATGGTCAATCTTTTTTTAGGTGTACCAGTGTTAAGTTTAGTCATCGGTTAAACTGTATTTATGGAGGTGCAGATTTTCATGGACTTAACCAATTCAACCATTAGCAAAATGTGGACTGAAATCCCAAATCAGTTGCAGATTGTTTCATTTCTATTCATAGAGGAATAATCAATTTTCCCTGGAGAAATGGTCAATCTTTTTTTTTAGGTGTACCAGTGTTAAGTTTAGTCATCGGTTAAACTGTATTTATGGAGGTGCAGGTAGCACATGAGCACCTCCCAAGAAGAACAAAGTGCATACCTTCTTCCATTTGGCGATGAGGTTACGGTCAGCATGTCCCTGGTCAAGGCAGAACTCATACAACTCCTGGGATATCTCCTTCCTGTTGTAGTATAGGTCATAAAGATATCGGCTCCTCTGGTGATTGATCTTGAAGATGGGCCACAGTGCCTCGCACTTCCTTCTCCCATCATGCGGATCATTCTCAGCTACACCAAGCATACATGGTAAGAAATGCATCAGTTTTACTAACTAACAGTGCACATGTTTGTAATGAGATTGGATAAGCAGACAGACCTTCTCTCATCTTGGAATGGAGCTCTGAGAGGGTGGGTTCTATAAGCTCCCACCCATCGGGATATTTCACACCACTTGTTTTTATCTTAGGCATGATGCTTCTTCTGGCTGCATATGGTGATACAATCAGAAATCTGAGTACAGAAAAAATGGGGAAGAAAACTAAACAGAAATGAAGTATAGTGATCTGTCGGGGGGAAAAAAACTATTCCATAATTCCGCTCAAAAAGATTATGCACTTCTAATGAGGTTGTAACCAAAATACATGAAGATTGGATTGGGCAATATCATATAAATTTGTACCAAAAATTAAGGGAAAAAAGTTAACATAAATGGACCATATAATCTGCCGCACCAAGTGTTACATTCTTCAGCAAAACCTTTTTTTTTTCATTTTCTAAAACTAATCATAGGAAACACCATAATAAATGGTTCTAACTGATTGGGGGTCAGGGGAAAGAAGTAAAGATAAATGAAGTATATATATGATCTGCTGCAACAAGTGTTCCATTCTTCAGCATAATCATGTTTTTTTCATGTTGTACATCTAATCATAGGAAACACCATATTAATAAATGGTTCTAACTGATTGGGGGTTAAGGGGAAGAAATAAAGATAAATGAACTATATAATCTGCTGCAACAAGTGCTCCATTCTTTCATCAGTACAATCAAGCTACTCTTGCTCCAGTAATAATAGGAAGAATCATCATACTGAATGTTACAACTAACTGCCCCGTCACAACTCATTATCTACCGAGTAAGTATTCTACCTTGTACAGCATCACTGGAGTATTGGGGGAAACCGTACTAAATCATCAATCCGGAGACCACGAAATCGCAAGTTAGCACCAAACCGCGGTAAATCAATCGGGGAAAGCACGAAATCGCGCAAGCTACCATCCAAGCACGCACAAATCGAAGCCCAAGCACAAAACCCTCCCTATTCTCTACGCAAATACTACTACACCAGCAACAGGAGCGCGGGGACTTATTCACAACGGAAACGCATGCACACCCGCCCGCCCCCGCCATGAGCAGATTAGAAATTTGAGGAGAAGTAGCAGCATCACCTTAGAGCTCCTTCCGCTGCCCGGACGAGAAGGGGAAGAAGAAATTTTTTAGGGTTCCGTCTCCGCAGGTGGGAGGAAGCAGTGGTCGGAGGGAGGATCGGGGGCCGGGGCGGAAGGAAGAAGATGCCGCTTGGTGGGTTCGGCTGGTCTGGCCCACGGTGAGGCCGCGAGGGGACATGGAATGGGCCGAACTGGGCCTCATAGGGCCTACTTGTTATATCATAAGGTTTCGAGGTTAATGGGCCAGAATATAATAAGCTTCATCACAGCCCAGTATACTAGTATTTTCTTATGGAATAAGTTCACCAGAGGTCCCTTAACTTAACAGCGAGATTTTTTTTAGGTCGCTTAACAACAAAACCAGAAATGTGTACCCCTAAACTCACCCAAACCGTACACACAAGGTCCTATGGCATTATATATGGGTGGTTTCGCTAACGTGGCATCCTAGACAGCAAAAAAAAATAAAAAAAAAATGGGGACCACTTATCTTCTCTCTTATCTCTTTTTTTTTCTTCTCTTCAGCTCACTGTCGACCGGTGGCAGATGGGGGCGAGCGAGGCAAGCCCGAGTGAACTCCGCGCGCCACCCCCATGCTCGCCCGCCGTCACCCCGCTTGGGTTGTGGTGGCGGCAACGCGCGGAGTGGCCGGCAAGGGGAGAGGCGACCGACCGCGTCGGCGTGAGATGGGGGAGTAGAAGGCCGAGAGAGGGGCGGAGCGGCCGGCGGTGGAGGGATGATGCCTGCGCGAGCTTACGTCGGGAGGAGTCCCAAACGGAGATGGCAGCTAGTTGAGCATGTGGCGACGGGAGAGGGGTGAGAGGCGGCGGCGGCGGTAGCAGCAGCTGGTGCCAGCCAAAGAGGGGAAAGAGGAGGCCGGCCGACGTGAGAGGGGGGCGCCGGCGGGAGAGGCAGCCGCTGCTCTCGCCAACCGCCGCGCTCGCCCGCCGCTTGCCGTGGGATTTGAGGCTGCCTCTGCCGCCGATGACACCAAGCCCATCTTCGCTAGTGTCCTCCTCCCATTTCCGGCCCCGCCCCTCTACAGGGACCCCACTGTCGCAGACCGTGGCACCGACGGGAGAGACGGCGCGCCCGCGGTGGCCTTGCTGAGGCTGCCGAGGCGGTTGTACGTCTGGCCTGGCATCGGGGGCTTCCCGCGACGAACCGGCCGACGGGATTTGAGGCCCCCTCCGCCGCCAACGACGCCAGGGGCCCCTTCGCCGGCATCCTTCTTCCACTTCCACCCCCGCCCCTCTGCAGGGACCCCGACCGCCACATTCTCTCTCAGTGTGCCTCTACTCAACTCCTGCGAAGTAGCAACGGCGGCGATGGTGCGAGGTGCGAAGCGGTGACGGCAGTGACGGTGCGGGGCAAAGGAGTGTTCTTGCAGCGGTGGCGCGTGCCGCCGCGCTCGCCCGCTAACACCGCCGCTCTACCTGCTCCGGTCGCGCACCACTGCCTGCAGCCGCAGCCGCACTCGCCCCCCGCCACGCGCCCCCCGCGTCCCAATCCCCTCTGCTCCTCCCCGAGCCTGGATCCGAAGCTCGCTCGCTGCCGCCGCGCTCGCCCACCGACGCCGCTTCTCCGCTTGCCTCCAGCTGCGCGCCGCTGCCACTCCCCGTTGCGGCAAATTGAAAAGTTGAAAACGAAAGAGAAGGAGAGAAAAAGGGATGCTGATTAGGATTGTTGACCCCACATTTTTTTCTCACTTATATATAGGTCCCACATATTTATTTTTTTGTTTTTTTGCTGATTAGGATGCCACGTCAGCAAAATTGGGCAAGAATACTGCCATGGGACCTCCTTTGAACGTTTTGAGTGAGTTTAGGGGTAGATATTTATGGTTTTGGGGTTAAAGGACTAAAAAAATCTCGCACTGTTAAGTTGAGGGACATATTATTAGCACATAATTAATTAAGTATTAGCTAAAATACTTAAAAATAGATTACTATGTTTTTAAAGCAACTTTCACAATATATTTTTTTCAAAATTGCACTATTTAGTAGTTTGAGAAATGCACACGTAGAAAACAAGGAAGTAAAGTTGAGAAAGATGAGAAAAGAACACACCCAAGCATGAAATGTTCCATAGCATTTTCATAAGAAATTTTTAAATGCTATGTAATTTGTGAAAATATTTGAATCATCATTAGCTTTGCTCAGTCTGAGGGTTTTCTAGCTTCGCCCCTGAATGTACATGTATGCGGTCTTAAGAATTATTGGCTTTTTATTTAATATACATAGATAGTGTTGAATAACTCCTAAAATGTAACCCTAACTAGCCAGTGAAGTGGCAGCAAATTCTTGGTGTTATCATTTGGTAGTGACCTGGATGCTCTGCTTTTGCAGTACATATCTACTATAGAGAGCGTGCTTGCATACCTGCTGACCTGCAGATCCAAGAAAGGTAAATGTACTGTTTTCTTTTGATTACTCTCTGCGCTTTTAAAACCTCTCTTGACCCCTTTTTAGAGTGTTACTATGCAATCAAGCTGGAGGACAGCCTTGCTCCCATCGGTTAACTGTAAGCCTGTTACTATATGGTTGACTTGCTTTTGATGGCACAAAGCATGATCCTGCTCATTGTGCATAGCTGCAACATTTGCCTCTAGCCCAGCTATGCATCCTAGCATCAAAATTTATCAAAGATAACACAATTTATATATAAAACTTTCATATTCTTAATGCTTTTAAGAAAATACTAAAATATAAACTATGATTTAAAAACCCTAAAACCAATGTTAAAATTAAGTTTTAGAATTAAAAGTTTAGCGACATCTTATAATTAAGCTGAAGGGATAAACGATGGACATCTTTCGCTGCACTGTATACACGTCGTCTTTTCCTCAAGATGATGATCATCTGTGCAGCCCAGGAAAGGCGCTTGCCGGCGATGATGCGTACACACAGCTGTTTTCATCTAGAAGTACGCGTCTAGAAAGGATATGATCCCCACTCACTCACGTCGTAGCAGTAGCTAGCAGTGACACAACCACAAGAGAGACTGATGCGGTTGCAAAGCGAAGCGCACGAGCACGGCAAAGTGGCCGCGCAGAATTCCCGGGAAATGAAATGATCGCCACCTCTCTCTCGCGCCATCTTGCCTTTTTTTTTTTTGAGTCTCTTCTTGTCCCCCCAACGCCCTAACACTGCGTATCATTTTCATTAGCCATGTCCCCAATTGTTTCCAATGATCACAAGATCGGAGAAATCAGAATGTCCAGTTGATTTCACTTGTTAAAAAAAAACCCATAAATACAACTCTGAAGTCTGAACTCGCTACAAGAGAGTACAATGCATAAACTTTGCATGAAACATTGGACGAAATAATAAAGCTAAATTGTCTGTTCTAGATGGGTTAAGTTAAAGTGTAGTACTATTATACTATAGGACTAATGCTGATGTTATGCTAGCATGTAGGTGAGTGAGACGGGCAGCATATGCCAGAGAAAAATTCAGAGTTTGACAATAAGTCGTTGGAACGGTGGGTGTGTGTGTGCTCCTTGTCGCTTGCCATGGCGCGGCGCGGCGCGCCCTCGACACGCCCCCGGCAACTACTCGACGCCTGCTCCGCCGGCCGGCTTGCCCTCGTGCGCGCCATGCGCCACGGTCCATGGGTGGGATCCCCACCACCACGTGCGCTGGCCAATGGCGGCAGCAGCTTTCCTTTTGCACGGACATGGTGGTGCCAGCCATGGTGGCAGCTTCCTTGGCTTGGCTTGGCTTTGCTTGTCTCTAGTAGTACTCCACGGGCGTGCCGGGGCAGCTGTCATCGTCCGACATGTCGGCGGCGGCGGCGGCGGCGGTGGCGGCCGCGACGCTGAACGGCGGGGGAACGTACGGCGGCGTGGCGCACCGGAGCAGCGCCCAGTTCACGCCGCTGAAGAACGGGTGCCGCTTGATGGCCGCGGCGCCGACCGTGGCGCCGAGGCGCCGCGTCGGGTCCTTGGCGAGGAGCGACGTGACGAGGTCCTTGGCGGCGGAGGAGACGGGCGGGTCCCTGGGGAACTCGAGCGCGCGCGCCACGATGTTCGCCAGGGTCATCTCGTTGTCGTACCCCTTGAACGGCGTCACGCCGTAGAGGAGCTCGAACACGAACACCCCCAGCGTCCACCAGTCGACGGAGCTGCCGTGCCCCTCGCCGGAGACGATCTCCGGCGCGAGGTACTCGTGCGTGCCGACGAACGACATGGACCGGAGCTCCACCGGCTCCGCCACGAACTCCAGCTCCAGCCCACCGGCCGGGAAGCTGCTGCCGCTGATGCCGCCGCCGCCACCACTCGCTGTCTTCTTCTTGCGGCGATGGCGCCGGCGTCGCCCGCGTCCGGGGAAGAGCTGGAAGCACGACACGGCGGGGACAATGCAGGACGGGATGATGCACGACGACGACGCCGAGTAGTGGCTGCCGGCGAGGGCGATGGGGTCCGAGATGACGTGCGCCGGCGTCGGCGCCGTCGGGTCGCACTTGAGCGAGAGGTCGAAGTCGGTGAGCATGATGTGGCCATCGGCGCGGACGAGCACGTTCTCCGGCTTCAGGTCACGGTACACGATGTCCATCATGTGGATGTACTCCAGCGCCGCCACCACCTCCGCCGCGTAGAACCTACCATGAGCACCATCACACAAACAATGTCATATTGCCATGATCATTCAGCTAAGCTCCACATAAAACCATCATTAATCAGCCACTGCTATCATATAGAGTAACCAAATGGAGAATGTCATTCTATAAAACAAAATGGAGCATGTTATTATTATCTTTAAAAAAATTCAAATGGAGAATGTAAAGCAAACAAGTTGGCCATGCTAGATGTATTATCCCATTGCAAACTTTTAATCAAAATTCAGCTGATGAAAGTGTAGCAATCACCAACTAATAATTCTTACGACTTGCTAGTGTTCTTTGCAACCACTGCATGTACAAAGCAAGTTACTATTGCATATATACTGCAACTGTATGGAAGTTGCATGACATCCTGGGACTTTAGTCACATGTCACCTTAAGGAACCCATAACTCTGTGTAGCGACGACTAACGACAAAGCCACCTGTATCAACTATCCACATCTGTGTTCATGTTTGCCACCATGGTGGATGCCACTGTGAGCCTCCAGACTCCAGTACGAAGCAAAAGTCACAAAGAGGCAAGAGCAGAGCAGAGAGAAAAAAAGAGATTAAAAACAGACAGTACTCGAGTCAGTGCATCATTGATGCTGGGGGTGTTGCACGGCTGAAGCATAATTAATTGCCACAAAGGAAGGTTCTTCATGTGGGCACTCAGTTGATAATTCCTTGGGTTAATTAGATTAATCCTTACAGCAAAGTACCCTACTACCCCCATGTTGATCTCTTCTGAATCCACCCATTCATTAGCCATAGGGCCCTGTGTATGTGTTTTTCAGAGCTGTGATTCTAACTCTCATCAGTCATCACATGGGGGTTAATAAAAGCCTCATTGACCAATGGCAGCAATTTACACCTATGAGGGAGTGATAATATATGATCATGTTCTCCAAACGGTTCTTGCGCCGTAGCACAAGGGCTTTGGCTCGTGTCACACCGGGATTAGCACAAATTAACCGACCCCATTACCATGAGTTGATTGATGGCAATGTTGTTGGCCGTAGGTAGGTGTGCCATCCATGTACAACTACACCATAAAAGCGTACGAGATCTAGTCATTCATTTCGTTTTTTTGTAGGGATACACACAGTGCAACTCTGTATCTAAGGCTGTACTATGGTTTTAAGACTTCTTCACTGAGCTGATATGAGTGATACAAAAAGCTAATATGTGAGAGTGAGTTATATATGGTTTTCTTATTATTTTTCCCACAAAGTTTATCTGCACCAAAGGCTAACTGGCAATGTTAACTTCAATAGTATATGTTAGACTGCACATGTTATTTTTATACTTAAAAATGGAAAAATATAGTGAATGCCATACAAGCTATGCACTGGCAGTATGTAGCCATGTAGGTTGTGTGGTGAATGCTATGGCCGGACTACTACTGAATACTGATGTACCCTTGACTAAATGAATGTGGCCACATGATGCTTGTAATGGGAACAAACGTACCGAATAATGCTGCTACTATTATTCTCGATCAGTACAGTCTAGTAGAAGTTGACATATTTTGTTATCTTCTACTCCGTAATATCGGCTATGGCCTACACGATATTCCTCACAAGTGAAATACGACCGAGGTTGATTCTGCATTAAAGTTATATCCCGGAGCGTAATCACACCAGCATCCGTAGTGATCGTCGCCTACAGATAAGGTAGCTGAAGATCCTAACTAGTTTTGTGTGATGCAAAAGATGCCTAATTTCCTCGAAGGAACAAACCTGCAAACGCATATGACAAGAACAGCTTTACTTCCACAAGGTCAGGCTTGGCTTCAGAATGGCAGAGGAGTGCACATGCAAACACTGAACACGCTCTGAATAGTGAGTGATTGCAAGGTGATATGGGCGTGCGGATGTGTAGTGTAGCTCAAAAGCTCCTATAGGAAGGAAAATGTAAAGCGACAGTGAGCTCCCTCCCATCCATGATGTCCAATCCCTTGCACTGTCTGTTTATTCAGAAGAGAGGAAAGGGAGACACTTTGAGCACAAATGTCCATCACCTAATTCGCAAAACACTCATTCATATACATCGCATTCATATGTTGCTTTGGAGGATATATATTAGTCCTTTTGTGTGTCTTTTTTTTGGGTTAAGGATGGATCCAAAAGGCAGCTAGCTACCATCAAATAGCATTATGTATGTTTTCATGATTGAACACATTCCGACTGAATAAAGATGGACATGCATGCCTAACAGAAGACATGATGGGGCCAAGCAAAGAAGAGAACAGAGAGAGCTTCATCCACTAGATCCTATAATAACAAGAATATACTATACTTTATGCATAAAAAAACACACACAGAGAGTAAAACCAAAGGGAATTAGTAGAACGCAGGAAACAAGCCACATTCTTCTCCCAAAAGCCTATGATCACTAGCTTAATAGCTACACTACTACTTGAGGATCCAATACTCAAAAATTGGCAAAGTGAATTAGTTCTAAAATTTTGACAAAGCCCTTGTTTAGTTCCAAACTTTTTTCTTTAAACTTCCAACTTTTCCATCACATCAAAACTTTCCTAACTTCTACTCCCTCCATCCCAAAAAAAGACAAACCCTGGTTTCTGTGCCCAACATTTGACCGTTCGTCTTATTTGAAAAAAATATAAAAAAAATTAAAAAGACAAGTCACACATAAAATATTAATCATGTTTTATCATCTAACAACAATGAAAATACGAATTATAAAAAAATTTCATATAAAACGGACAGTTAAAGTTGGACACGGAAACCTAGGGTTTGTCTTTTTTTTTGGACGGAGGGAGTAACTTTTCCGTCACATCGTTCCAATTTCAACCAAACTTCCAATTTTGGCGTGAACTAAACACACGAAAACATAGGAATGCTTATTTATAACTGAATGTAAAATTAACAGGACGGTGATGAGTGATTCATGCTGGGTTGGTTCGTCAGTTGAAAAAGAAATGGAACTTTTTTTTTGACATTTTACGATACGGATGAGATTATGAGAATAATGTATTTGTGCGATCGAGCAATCGAATCGAAGAGATGTAGTGTACTACAGTATTATACCTGACGGCGGACTCGGTGAAGCGGCGGTGCGGCTGCCGCTGGCGGAGGACGTGGAGGTCGCCGCCGGGGCAGAACTCGGTGAGGAGGCAGGACCAGCGATCCCCCTCGGCCACGCCGTAGAGGCGCGGGAGGAAGGGGTGGTCGACGGCCTCGAGGATCTCCCTCTCGGTTCTCGCCCGCCCTTCCTTGTTCCTCCCGGCCAGCTCCTTCCTGTCCATCACCTTCGCCGCCACCACCGCCGCCCCACCGCCGCGGGCGCCCTTCACCTCCGCCAGGTAGACGCTCCCGATGTCCCCGGAACCGAGCCTCCGGACAAACCGTATGTCGGAGAGAGAGACCGCGCCGAGGCGGGGTGCGGCGGCGGCGCGAGGAGGAGGGGGAGGTGGAGGAGGAGGTGGGCCGGAGGTGGTGGTGGAGACGGTGGTGGCGGTGGAGACGGTGGAGCCGGAGCGGGAACGCTCGGAGGAGCCGAAGCTGAGGCTCTGCAGCTCGTCCGCCGCGAGATCGGCGTCGCCGCCGTGATCGGGAGGCATTGCCGGCGAGGGGGGGAGACAGCGGCGGAGGTGGAGGTGGGGAGATGGGGGGGGCGCAGGTGGTGGTGGTGGTGATGAGGTGGGTTTTTAATTTGAAGAGGACACGAGGGAGGGTGACGGTGATGGGCCGGGCCGGGATCACGCGTCCGGTCCAAACGCAATTGGGTTTTTATTTTATTTTATTTTGTTTTGTTTTGTTTTATTTTTTTATTGGTTTGGCTTTGTTTTTGGGGTTGGATTTCCGGGGAACATGCAGGCCCTGTTCTACGGGTAGTGTAGAGTATACCATACTTGGATTAACAGGCAGTAGAACATTCCATTGCAAATGCTACAGTATTACTAATTAGCAGGTTGATTGGATTAGATTAAATTAATTACCTCGTTAATGATCAACTGCTTTGACCTAATGGCATTGGGTGCTACACTCTAGCTAGTGGTGATTTCACGGCTCGAAAAAGGAAGAGTTGCCGGTCGAGCGAGCGAGCATGCAGTAACCGGTAATCAAGCTCGATGACGAGATTATTGTTGCTTGGGTTGAAATCAATCGCAAACGGCGCCGGCGACCGCACGAAATTGCCTGCCCAATCTCGTGATATAACGCCTAGTTTGCATGGCACTATAATTTCGGGATTGGCCGCTTGCGCTTGGAACCACACGCGCACGCACGTTGGAGGACCGAGCTAGAAGTGGCACTGTGGTTAGAGAAGCTAGTTGCCCCTCCGTTTCAAATTATAAATCTGTCTTTTAAATCTTTTTCACAGTTAAATATTTTTTTATGTTTGATCAAATTTATAAAAAAAATAGCAATATATATAACACGAAATAAATTTTATTAAATGTACGTAATATTGAATAAATTTTGATAATATGTTTGTTTTGTGTTGAAAATGTTATTATATTTTTCTATAAACTTAATCAAACTTTTAAAAAATTGGTTAGAAAAAAGTCAAAACGACTTATAGTCTGTCTCTCAAACTTCTTGAAAGTTAAATCAAGTTTATATAAAAATACAGCAACATTTATAGCAATAAATTAGTTTTATTATATCTAACAATGAATATATTTTGCTAGTTTTTTTGTTTTATGTTAAAAATATTACTTTATTTTTTTATAAATTTAATCATTTTAAAAAAATTAAAATAACTTATAATATAAAATGAAATGAAGGTAGTAGCAATCTTGAACGGATGGGACTACATTGACGTGGATGCGAAGAGAGCATGATCGAGTACGTCCAAGTGTAGCCGGGACAAGTGACTGGACCAAACGATGGAGATACAATGCGTGTGTATTCTTCCGTAGCCCCGTAGCTAGCTGAGCTGGAACTTGCTCTGTTCGTTTCCTCTGCTATACTAGCTCATGGGATGGACCAATATTGCGATATGGACCAAGGTGATGAAGCTAGCCGCTTGTTTTGTTCGAGCTCCAGCTTTTTTTCTCACTGAAAGTCGATCTGATGAATCTGAAGGGCCGGGGCCCATGTTATTAGGACGGACGTGTCTGTCGGGGTGGCAGTTGAGGTCGGATTCAGCGAGACATGTGGTGTTTCCTTTTCAGGGGGGATTATATTCATCTGCAAAGCTTCGTAGGGCCCTCAAATATTAATTTGTTCATGCATGCATGAGCACACTGCTGCCTCTACTGTCAGGACATTATATCTTATGACAATATATAGGCCATGTTTAGTTATAAAGTTTTTTTCCAAACTTCCAACTTTCCATCACATCAAACCTTTCATACACACACAACTTTTCAGTCACATCATCTCCAATTTCAACCAAATTTCAAACTCTGGGCCGAACTAAACACAGCCATAGCAGTGTAAGCCATTCAAATGTTTGAGTTTCTCTAGCTGCTATATAGGCTTATGCCCTTTACACTGCAGGGACGTGGCGAGTTACCTCCCGCGCCACATTGGACCCGTACATACGTGGCGACGAAGCGCGGTGCTCTGCTTAGTCGCTCGTCCCTTATCTGGGAGATGAGTCTTTTTGTTGAAGGGAGGGCGCGCAGCGCAGGGAACCTCCTCCATGCCTGTGTTGTGGAGGTCGTCCCTCTAATCCTCCACTCCCTCGCTCTGCATCATCGCTCCCGCGCTGGAATCCTCGCACACGTCCAGCTCCGTCTACATCGATGCGCCAGCGGATAGGGAGGAGGGAGAAATGACGAGCTCTCGCAGCGCTTTGGATCTGTGACGCCATCGTCGCCCTCCGCTGCTCAAAGCAGGGACGACACACGGGTTGCCCCATAGTTATCGGAGATGAAGTCGGGGACGTCATCGCCGCTCGGCATCAGGGCAGGCAGCACTTGCCGGTGACGAGCCGAACGACACTGTATCCTCTCCGTTGCGGCCTCGCCGCTGTTGTGCATGAGAGCTAGGAAAGTGGAAAGGGGAAAGTGGGAGAGAGAAGGCCAGTGCGCTCACATCCACGTTCCCGCACTCACCTCTCGCCATCTCCGTCGGAGAAGGATCAATCGATGCGCCGGTGTGGATTGGGGGAGAAGCGGTGCGATGGAGAAGATGCGTCGCAGGTGATGGGGAGGAGAAGTGACGGATTTTTTTTGTTGATGCATGAGGATAAGCATGAAGGGTTAGGTGGTTGTGTGGTCGACGATTTTTTGTTGGGTCATGAGCACTGTGAGGTGCGTGGCTTTCGAGCCAATTTCATCACACAAATAGGCCAGAGACATGCATAGTGTGCCTTGCACTACTACTGCCCTTAAGGATCACTTGAGATACAACTCTCACAGTGCAGTGTAGGCTCACAAATGCATTTGAATAGGTCTAGTGCAGGCTGATGATACGCCTCGAGGCTACGCAGCCTATAGTGGTGAGTTCCCTTCCGTATCCCCTATCCAATTGACCGGCCAAGGAAGTAGGGTGGGAAGAGGTCTAGGGATGGCGCTAGCAAGTTGCGTTGCAAGATGAGAGAGTGGACTTCTCTGGTGGAGATGACGAGGCGGAAATGAGGTTCACACACGAAGCCAAACAAGTGCGAGAATACAAGCCCAGGAGTGACCAAATCCGAGCGTGGGAGACATGAATCAGTGGGGCGAGGGGTCGATTTTGGGGTTTTCGTATCCAGTGCGGCGCGAGGGGACGGTGACTCGGAGCCACGATCTCTACAGCGCAGGCACGGTTCTATTTACCTACGCTGCGCGCCCTCGAGACAGTCGAAGAACTCGTCTCCTAGGTAAGAGGCAAGCAGCTCAGCAGGAGCGCGAGCAGAGTCAACATGTCGGCGCATATCCTACCTAGCGCGTTTAGGTAACTCGACACGTCGACACACTGCGAACCTAATGTCTCTCGGCGAGACATCAGATGATCAGCTAAGCTAGCCGGTCGACTAATGTTGTTTGGCATGACACCATTACTGAAATACATTGTTCATTGTCGTAGCTTGTCCAATGCAAACATAATCGAGTACAACTTTGCTATACGTCCGACTTGTTTGTTCGACCGGTGTACGACTAAACGGCAGAACAGCTTGGTGCATGACGGCGTGAGGCAAAGTCGTGCACTCGCTTGTGTTACGGTCGTACAAGAGTCGAACATAACGGTCTTGTGTATAGCATTTTTCGTTCGAGTACTTCAGTACTGTCTTAATAGTAGCACAGTACATCTGTTCTTGTAGGCCCTTCAGGTACATTTACATGAAGTTTTTTTTGTTTTGTTTTGCCTGTGTACGAGGCAGGCAGCCAGGCAGGGTCAACTGGCGACATTGTTTGAGACTGGAAGTTGACGCGAGCTAGCTGCATGCTTCCTACAGCATCTGTACGTGTTAAATCCCATGGCTCTGTCGGCGAGAGCGGAGGCAGGCAGCATTTCTTGCGATGCTCGTTTGCCTCGTTTCTGCGAGTTGGTTGCTGCTGTTTTCTGTTGCAAGCTGGGTGATGCGCTTGAAGCCCGAAGCATATGTAACACCCAACAACGGTTTCAGACGGTCGTATTTGTCCTGGAATTGTGAGAGTTGGTTGTGGGCCGTGGCTGCCCCATGATCGGCAACAACCAGTGGAATTCGGCCCAAATAAGCTTAAGGAATAAGTTCACTTTTTGACCCTCAAAAGTGATCGAAATCTAATCCTACCCTAAACCACAAAACCGGATATCTCGACCCCCCCAACTCTTAAAACCGGTGTAATTTGACTCCCTTGGCGGTTTTGAAGGGATGTTTCGCTGACGTGGCGCCTACGTGGTAGTATTGACTCGGTTTTCTTTCCACGTGGCATTGATGTGGTGCTTATATGGCATTAGAAATAATAAATGTGTGGGACCCATTTGTTATTCACCAAAAGTATAGGTGGGACCCACTGACATGTGGGGCCCACATAAAACATGCTCTCTTCATCCTCCACCCCTCTCTCTCTCTCCCTTCCGTTCGGCGAGCGGCGGCCATGGGACGGGGGCCAGCGGCTGGCGGGAGCTGGCGGCGGCGGCGGCAGGCTCCACCTATATCTCCCTCTTCCTCCCTTTTCCAACCTCAGCAGGCGACAGGCTGTGAGGAGGCCGGCGACGGGCTGTGAGGAGGACGGCACCCGACGGCGGGTGGTGAAGAAGCCGAGAGTTGGCGGAGGACCGAGGCGGGGAGGACGGCGAACGTTGCTGGTGGAGAGGTCGCGGACGGCTGTCGCTGCTAGGAAGGACTCGAGGCCAACCAACGCGGCCGTCGCGGCGGCAAGCGTGGGCAAGGAGACGGGGAGTAAAGGGATGAGGAGGAAGGGCGGGGTCGAGCCATGGCTGGTCCATCGACTTTGGTATCCGCCGCTCCAATCTCTTCCTCCACTAGCTCCTTCCCGCGCGCCGATTTGTCACCGCCGGCTAGCTCTCAGGTTCATCGTCTTGGCTACGGCGAGGAAGGTGTTGCGGCAAGCGAGAACCGGTGAGAAGACGGAGGCGAGACAGAGGGGATTGGAATCGGTGAGCTCGAGCTCACCATCCCGTCCTCCATCTTCCTCCCCCGATGCCTGCTTGCTCCCCACCATCGGCTCATGGTGGCGTCATCGGAGCAGCGTCTTCCCTGGGAGTGAGGTCCGGCGCCGGCTCCCGTCCGCCGCCGTTCCCCTCCCGCCCGCCACCATTCCTCTCGTCCTTCCACTGCCACGAGCCACCGCCGCCGTTCCCCTCATCCTCCCACTAGGGGATCCGGCCCTCGCCCGCTTGCCCTCCGCCGCCGCTCGCCGAACGGAAGTGAAAGAGAGAGAGGGGGAGGATGAAGAGAGCATGATTTGTGGCCCCACATGTCAGTGGGTCCCACCCATACTTTTAGTAAATGACAAATGGGTCCCACACATATTTTTTTTATTTCTAATGCCACCTAAGCGCCACGCCAACGCCATGTGGAAAGAAGACCGAGTCAATACTGCCACGTAGGCGCCACGTCAGCGAAACCGCCCTTCAAAACCGCTGAGAGAGTCAAATTGCACCGGTTTTAAGAGCTGGGGGATCAAGATATCCGGTTTTGTGATTTAGGGTCACGGATTAGATTTCGATCACTTTTGAGGATCAAAAAGTGAACTTATTCCTAAGCTTAAACTGGTTCAACTGAAATGGGCCTGAAGTATACAATCAGGCCCAGGAAAGGCTACGGCCCATTTGGTACTTCAAATTCAAAGCATAACAAAATGGCTTGCACAAGAAACAACAAAATGGTCAACGGAATCTAAGAACCTTATTCTTCTCCGTAAAATAAAAACATTTAAATATTCTTCCTCACCGCAAAAAAAAACAAATAAATATTCTTCCTCTCCGCGAAAAAAAAAGGGGAAAAGGTTAAAATATTCTTCCATGGCCTTTCTTCCCGCCACATGTCACCCACCCCTAGCCCTCGACCACCCTCCGTTCGCTATCGAAGAGCAAACCTACCGCAGTAAAAAAAAAGAAAGAAAAATCACTCGGGCGCATATAAAATTTGTCCCAATTATTAAGTCGCAGATCTCCGCGAGGAAATGGTAATTGCAGAGCAGGAATCAAGCTGGCCTGCCACTCCTTCCATTTTCATATTCCACCTCCGCCTCAAACCTCGCGCGCTCCCGCGTCGCGCGCCGCTGACTTTCCTCATTCCCCCCGCTGCAGCGAGCTCGGAATCCGAATCGAAACGAGAGGAGGGTGTAAACGTCGTTGCCGCCCACTCGCCGGCACGTCGCCATCCAGATCGCACGCATTGACCAGACCACCCAACTCTACTTCTTCTTCTTCTTCTTCCATCGATCTCCAGACGCTCGCCGATCGATCGAGCAGCGGAGGAGCACAGTAGTGTGTAGCTATGGCGGTGACCGGCGGCGGGAGGCCGGCGGTGAGGCAGCAGGCGGCGAGGGGGAAGCAGATGCAGAGGACGTTCAACAACGTCAAGATCACGCTCATCTGCGGCTTCATCACGCTCCTCGTCCTCCGTGGCACCGTCGGCATCAACCTCCTCACCTACGGCGTCGGCGGCGGCGGCGGCTCCGACGCCGTGGCGGCCGCCGAGGAGGCCAGGGTCGTCGAGGACATCGAGCGCATCCTCCGCGAGATCCGCTCCGACACCGACGACGACGACGACGACGAAGAAGAAGAGCCACTCGGCGTCGACGCGTCGACGACAACGACGACCAACTCGACGACGACGACGGCCACGGCGGCGAGGAGGAGGAGCTCGAACCACACCTACACGCTGGGGCCCAAGGTGACGCGGTGGAACGCCAAGCGGCGGCAATGGCTGTCCCGGAACCCGGGGTTCCCGTCCCGCGACGCGCGCGGCAAGCCCAGGATCCTCCTCGTCACCGGGTCGCAGCCGGCGCCGTGCGACGACGCGGCGGGCGACCACTACCTGCTCAAGGCGACCAAGAACAAGATCGACTACTGCCGCATCCACGGCATCGAGATCGTCCACAGCATGGCGCACCTCGACCGCGAGCTCGCCGGCTACTGGGCCAAGCTGCCGCTCCTCCGCCGCCTCATGCTCTCCCACCCGGAGGTGGAGTGGGTGTGGTGGATGGACAGCGACGCGCTCTTCACCGACATGGCGTTCGAGCTCCCGCTCGCCCGCTACGACACCAGCAACCTCGTCATACATGGCTACCCGGAGCTCCTCTTCGCCAAGCGCTCCTGGATCGCCCTCAACACCGGCAGCTTCCTCCTCCGTAACTGCCAATGGTCACTCGAGCTGCTCGACGCGTGGGCGCCCATGGGACCAAAAGGCCGCGTCCGCGACGAGGCCGGGAAGGTTCTGACGGCAAGCTTGACGGGGCGGCCGGCGTTCGAGGCGGACGACCAGTCGGCGCTGATCCACATACTGCTGACGCAAAAGGAGAGGTGGATGGAGAAGGTGTACGTGGAGGACAAGTACTTCCTCCATGGATTCTGGGCGGGGCTCGTGGACAAGTACGAGGAGATGATGGAGAGGCACCACCCGGGCCTCGGCGACGAGCGGTGGCCGTTCGTCACCCACTTCGTCGGGTGCAAGCCGTGCGGCGGCTACGGTGACTACCCGCGGGAGCGCTGCCTGGGCGGCATGGAGCGCGCGTTCAACTTCGCCGACAACCAGGTGCTCCGGCTGTACGGATTCCGGCACCGGTCGCTGGCGAGCGCCCGGGTCCGGCGGGTGGCGAACCGGACGGATAACCCGCTGGTCAACAAGGAGGCCGCGCTCAAGATGGACGCCAAGATCGAGAGCTGAATTTTTTTTATCTGAATTAAGCTTGGAGATAATCAAATGTGTGATCGATGCTACAGATTTTGTTTTATGTGTTTGTTGAATCAAATACAGTTCGTTTCAGGTTCTTTATTAGGAACTGATGATGATGATGATGATGATGATGATACAGTAATTGTTGCCGCAGCAAGTCATCTGCTGCTGTTTTTGGATTAAGGGACAAAATGAAACAGGATAAGAGAAAGTGGGCACATGCTTTCCCATGATTCAAAAAGGTTGAATTGTTTTGTTTGGTTTGATTAATTTTAGGTTCAGCGCGCGAATGATTTGTAATATTGTGAAGTTTCATGACTCAAGATGGACGCCAAGATAGAGAGCGGAATTTTTGCTCTGAATTACGCATGGAGATAATCAAATGTGTGATCGATGCTAGTACAAGTTTTCTTTTTGGTATGTGTTTGTTGAATGTTCGTTTCAGGTTCTTTATTAGGCAGCGGGCATAGTGATGATGACGATAATGATACCATCTGCTGCTGTTTGGTTCTGTATTTGGATTAAGGGACAAAAAATGAAAGTAGGATAAGAGAAAATGGACACATGCTTTCCCATGACTCAAAAAGGTTGAATTGTTTGGTTTGTTTTTTTTTTATGTTCAATGGGCCAATTATTTGTAATTTCGTTGCGCTTGTGTGCATAGGGACAAACTCTCCTTGTCTGCATCTCGATGACGCAGAGATTATGTAAAACTTTTACGAAATCACTAACACATCGGGGATGTAGCTCAGATGGTAGAGCGCTCGCTTAGCATGCGAGAGGTACGGGGATCGATACCCCGCATCTCCAATTTTTTTAAATTTCACTTTTACTTTTTTCCCCCCTTCTCTTTTCTAATTTCTCTTCTTTTCCTGCAGCATATCTCCAATTTTCTTTCTTTATTTTTCATTTCACTTTTCCCTTCTTTTTTCCTTCTCTTTTCTAATTTCTCTTCTTTTACTGCAGCAGTGCAGCATCTCCAAAAATCTTTCCTTTTTTCATGAAATTTCACTTTCCTTTTTCCTTCTCTTTTCTAATTTCTCTTCTTTTCCCTGCAAATTTCATTATTCTTCCTTTTTTCCCCTCGCTAAAAGGTTATTTTCTTTCACCGGCAATTTTTCACTCTTCATTTATTTTTCGCTAACACAAGATCCCATAACTTCGTTTTTTATACTGCATGTACTATAAGATTATTTTCTTTTCCCCAGCAAATTTCACTTTTCATTTTTTTTACTTGCTAACACAAGATCCAAAAACTTCATTTTTTTTATATTGCAATTTGCAAGTGCTGTAAACCTGAGCTATGTACGTTTCATTTCCTCCTCCTGGATATTTTTTACATCGCAAGTGCTACAGACTTGAGCTATATCAAAGCTTGCAGTACTGCGTAGTGCTATAAGCTTATTTTCTTTTCATTCAAATTTCACTTTTCTAATTTTTTTCCTTGCTAACATAAGATCCCATATCTTCGGGTTTTTTTTTCATATTGATAGTCTTATATACGCTATGTTCATTTGATTAATTTCCTCATTGGACGTTTTTCTTACATTGCAAGTGTTATAAACTTGAGCTATATATGTGAAAGCTTGTACAAGAAGATGTCTGCCTATAACATGGACTGACTTTATTAGTCTCATAAGATCGGTATATGTCAGATAACATGACTTGAATCTCAAATAATCCAAAAGATATAGATAAAAACTAATCCGTTTCACCATAATAACCGGATACTCTAGAGGCCTACACATAGGCTCTAACATCCCTGTATTCCAAGTGTGAGTATCGTGGATATTAAGACCAGAGAAGGAACAAACGAGAGTACTCAACAATGATAGCTATGTCCTCCATTGTCAAGGTAACCAAAGCGAAGAGATTGATAAGCTCTGATATAGATAGCTGTGTGTATAGTAGTAGTGGACGAGGCAGTCAAAGCCGGATGCCGATGATAAGTTATCTGCCAAGCCATAAAATACATAATGAGTGCCATGGAGTGGTCACGAGTGCGTGCAATGGCACCGTAGACCAAGGTGCATGTCAACGCACTGAAGATAAAGACTGTATGGTGTCACGATCGCGCCAATAATTAGGAAGATGACATCGCATGGCCAATGCTTTCAAACTGTGGATGACAAGATGCCACACTGGATTTGCTAGGCCCAGAGGTAACCTGAGACAAATGCTTGTAGTGGTGTTGGCAATGCCGCACAAGCTAGGTTGGAGGCCAATATGAGCCGTGACTATTGTCAAAGGAGAGCAGAAGGGAACTAGAGACAACCTCTAAATTGGTTGCGACACATAGAGCAGCGTAGAGGAAGAAATACTAGTGCGATCCACGGTTAGAGGAGAACAAAAATAGTTGAAAAACAGACGATAGTGGCAACTGAAAGAAGACGTGGCATGGTACTTGAAATTGGCAGAGAAGAACCTGAGTATCTGAAGATGACCAATGCAGATAACGATTACCATTGCACGACCGGTGATGCTGCTGCTTGAGGGGGATGGCACAACTACATCTTCGTATCAATGCAACGGAAACTTTGATGACATGGCATGAATACTCAAAGACAATTGGTCCAAGAAGTTGTCGTATTCGGACGGTTTCAAGCTGAGAACATGTGAGGTGAGACGATGAAGTTCTTTCCATATATACTCCATACTAATATATTGGATGCAACCATATGAGCACCCACCACTTTTTTTTAAAAAAAAATTCTACTCCACAGTGATTGATTTAATAATGGTCAAGGCGTATCTTACCTTTTTTCCCTCTCTGGGGTGAGTGCGTGTTTTAATAGCCCAATTAGGCGTATCTTACCTTTTTCCCTCCTCCCCGGCACGCAAAACGAAGCTCGTATTTTTACATGATTAATTAAGTATTAACTATTTTTTTGAAAAATAGATTAATATAATTTTTTAAAACAACTTTCATATTAAAAGTTTTTATATAAATCACATCGTTTAGCAGTTTGAAAAGCATGCATGCGGAAAACGAGAGATGTAGGTTGGGAAAATGGGAGAAAAACACAACCTTAAAAAGGTTCGTTCACGTAGCGTTAGGAGCGAAGCTTTGTTCTCCTTCGAGCGTTACTAAACTTGGTATTGCGTACTCCCTCCGTTAAAAAATTTAATCTTAAAAGAGATGTGACCTCTCCTATAACAACAAATCAGGATATTTTTAGGTTAATTTTTTTTTAAGGATAGAGAGAGTATTTGCGTACGTGGGTTTGACATGGTGTCATCAACATCACCCATCCTTGGTGCATCCCACCCTGGTAGGCTGGTACTCCTACTACTAGTACGTCGCGCTCCATCCATCCATCCGTTGCAGCCGCAGCCGTGAAAGCTACCAACACCAACAGTAGCGTAGCACAAACCACTACACCACCACCACCATCACCCGATCGAATCGAGAAAACGCAATCGCTGCTCCGCGGCGGCGGCGGTTGACATTGCAAAATCGCATCACCTCCCACCATCCCATCCCATCCCATCAACTTCCATAAAATTCCACCTCAACCAATCCCCATCCCATCCATCCATGTAGCCTCGCTTTTGTCGAGTGAGTAGTAGTGGACTCGAGCGGAGGAGGAGGCGGCGCCGTTGCGGGATCGGCACTGCGGCGGCGGGCATGGCGGCGGCGGGGGTGTCGAGGAGCATGGTGCTGACGCTGCTGGGGTTCTGCGTCAGCGTCCTCTTCATCGTCTTCGTCTGCTCCCGCCTCGCCTGCGCCCTCCTCAGGCGACGCCGCGGCCGCGCCCGCCTCCGCCGCGCCTCCCCTCTCGCCGTATCGGGGGTCCTCTCCATCTACGTCGACCGCCACGGCCACCACCAGCCCTCGTCGGCCGCCGGGGCCGCTTCCGGGACCGGGGGCCTCGACCCCGCCGCCGTCGCCGCCTTCCCCACCCGCGCCTTCTCCCCCGCCGCCTCCTCCTCCGCCTCCGCCTCTACCCAGTAAGTCCTCGATTCGCCTTCCCCCCGCATCGCCGATTCGTTTTCCGCCCGTGCTACTGTACGCCGTCGCGTTTGCGTCGAATCCAAGCTTCGATTCTGCGGTGTTGCGGCGCCGCAGCTACTCCGATTGTTTAATTGCATTGGGGATTGAATTGAATTGATTGTTCGTTCGTTGGGTGAATCCAATCACGAGTGGAACCTGCGGTTTGAGTGGAACTTTCACAACCAGATTCCGCACGTTCTACTACTATATCAGTATTAGCTTGATTATTGGGGGGGAAGTGAGTAGTGGCGTTGAAATTGTGGTCTTCGTAGTTGCGAGGGCGCCCTCAGGATGGGTGAGGAAAGGGGATCTGCTACCCATTATAAAATTAGGATTGGATACTTTCTGCTTCGGCACTTGTCATTATCACTGTTTAGTTGGGGGAATCTTGCGGATGTTACTTTCATTTGGTGTTCTCTCATTCTTCACGTATGCGTGAACATGCAACTAGTAGTACTACTAGTAGTGTTATTCTTGGGGGAGGATTTGGGTATGTCACATGGTTCAGTTTGCAAGTGTTGAATGTGACTGTTGCTTACACTGCACTATGAGCTACTAATATTAGTGAGAAGCTCAGTTACTGAGCCGTGCTAGACAACCGCTAATTTGTGAGCAACAGTCACTCAACCTGTTGCCTAAAATTAGCTGTTGCCTTTAGCATTTTCTGTACTGAGATTTGGGAAGTGTCTGCTTGCTTCTATTCACTTCCTGGTATCATACATATCTGATCATGGCAAGCCATAGTCATAAACAACTGCTACTAAAACATCTTGAAAAAACAGCACCGTGCAGGAAAAAAAAAAGTTATGTGATAGATTAACTAGGTCCATGTTGGTGTTGGTCCCTGAGGAAAAAAAAAGTTGCTTCAGTACCGAAGTCTTGATTATTGTGCTTGATTGGAGATTGACTATGAGTCCTGAGATCCCTGAACTTGCATTGCTACTGAACAGCTAAGGCTACTATATCAATCAAAAGGAATACAAAATTTTAACTGCTCTTGGGTAAGGATGGGTCACTGTCATCAAGTGGGTCAAACACTTAAACCCCCTCATCTGTGCTTGATGTGCTAATAGCAAGGTTTTCTTTTTGAAAGACAATGCTGGTACTGCTATTGAGGATTAGCTTGATTGTTTGATGCATTTGACTGTTATCTGGAGTGAGATGCTTCTGTTATATTGGTGTTGTTTGCTTTCTTATGGTCTTGTACTAAATAAAGTAGAAATAATGAGATGACACTGTATACGATTTTTACTAATTGTTCCCAACTCCACCAAGCCTAGATTCTGAACTGTTTGCTTCATCACTGGCAGGTGTGTAGTCTGTCTTGCAGAATACGAAGAGAAAGATGTGCTCCGTGTTCTTCCCTACTGTGGCCACGGCTTTCACGTGGCCTGCATAGATATTTGGCTAATGCACCATTCAACATGCCCAGTTTGTAGAATTTCGTTGTGCGACTACCCTGATAGCAAGCACACGATGTCTCCTGTACCAAGTGCAGTGATAATACCATTACCTCCATGTTCTCCTGAAGCATCAAGATCAGATCAATGCAATTGCCTATTCGTCGGAACAGGTCATTCGCCAAGGACATCGCAGGTTCTCAGAAATGAACCTGACCAGGTGAATCGGACATTATATACTCCACCGGCGGAAGGGGGGAATAGCTTGCCATCATCAGAAGTTAACCCCCCTGGTGAAAAATAACAACCAGCAAAAACAGTAGAGTCCTCATATTCATGACAGATCATGATCCACTAAGCTAGGACCCTGCAACTAGCTGCTTGAAATTTCTGCTGTTCTGTCTGCTCTCTGCCAGGTGAAACTACCTGTAATATTAGAAACATCGACACAGGGGGATCCGTGGATTGCTGTCATAGGTTAGTTTTGGAGCGGTTTTGATGTAAATATGAGAAACCGTTCAGGTTTCTTGTAAAGAAAACCACATTTGTTTGTCATCATATTCAAGATCCCATTGTATTCAAATTCAATGGCTTACTATTAACAACAGCACACCTGCAAAAAAAATCACACAGAAAAAAAGTACCTACATTCCTACAACTCCACCGGCAAACAGGTTGAAGTACTCGTTGATTAGTTCGTTGATCAGATCATTTGAGAGGAACTTGATGCATGTCTATTGGCAAGTTGGGGCTTTCGCACTCATCAGTTCGTGGAGAAATTCTTCCTGAACAGCATCTAAATCAGTGGCCAATTTGCCATCTTGTTTCGATCTACTTGGGGAGAGCTTAGTCAGACATCACACAGTGGCTGCTATTCATACTGCAGCAGCAGCATGTGGCTTCATTGTCCTATGTTTGTCGAGTCTGATGGCACCAACAGTATGGTAGAATGGCCCAATTGGTGTGATTCTGGGATTAGTCGATCAAACATGACCTCCATTGGTGGGAACCAGCACAATGCTGAATAATTCTGAATTCCTGATCCAAGATCTGAAGTTTCAGGTTCAGATGGTGATATGATATCTCTTCTGAAGCCAGGGGCCTCCAGTGGCAGAAGAACAGCCTATATGTTTGTCCACGCATGGATGTCGGCCGGTCCAATCATGGCTCATACAATAGATCTGAACTTTGTGTGCTCAAAGCATCAGCAGCAGCAATGGTTCTTCTTCCCTGCTGCAACAGTGTGTGCGCTGACCATCTATGCAGAAATGATTCAACCAAGTGTAGTAGTGTACTGCCAAGGAAGGCCTTAGTGAGCTTTACAGTGGTTCATGTCTGTGGTGGTGGTGGTCCTCGCCGGAGCAGAATTCTCACTCACTCTGCCCTTAAAATGGTGGCCAGCATGGTGGTGATCATCGCACTCTGCGAGAAGGCACCGAAGGCTGGGAGCTTTGCGCTTTTCGGCCATGGTGGAAATCAAGAACCTTTTGCCTGGTGATGTTCGTGGCAGGCACCGTGGTGGATGACATCCTGCATGGCATGACCAAAGCTTTTTTCAGAGATGGACATGGTGAAATCCTCTGACAAAGTGATATAATACTACATCGACCCCTGTTGTATTCAGAGTTTCAGACTTAGTTTTCTGCTCTGAATCTAGCTGAAGTTCAGTACATTCTGATAAAATTTGCCTAAGAATTAAGATGAAGACCACCAGTGTCAGTATCTGAATAAACCTGTAATTTTCAGTCTTGAAACAGCTAAAATTCGTTATGCAAACTCGTTGGATCTGTCACATTTTTGCAGGGGAAAAGTCGTGTTGAACCAAGAGATGCTGACGCAGGGCTTCACTCATGTCTTCTCCCCGACCTTCGGGAATTAGCTCTGAAGATCTGACGAGCTACATGAGCCGTGAGAAACACCTGGAGTTTGCAGGCACGTTCATGGCAGCAATGGACAAAGTCGTCATCATCGATTTCCCACCGCCAGCATCATGATGATATGGACTGTCTATCAAGGCTCAAACATCCATCATCCATTGTATAAATGGTCCCTTTTCAGGTACCCATCCATCTATGATCTATATGCAGGTGTCATGTTGGAGCTAAGCTCCATTACTGCTTCTTCTGCTACATTCTATTGTGTTGAGCTGTTGTAGCTGACTAGTTGTAATCCAGCTATATTATACAGTAAATTCAGTTCAGATGTTTAGGGTAATCCTGGAATAAAAATTTCCATGATCTTTTTGGCTGCTGATACTCTTCTCCCTTTTTCTTTTCGGTCTTAATGATGGGTTTAACTAATTCCTAAACAGTTTTTATGATCTCACAGCTGCTTACCGCTGAAAGCCTGAAACTTTGGCGAAAGCAGGTTTGCAATGACTATGTTTGGTGCTTACTAGTAGAAGTACAACATGGTAAACAATGCTTTCATGTGAAGCCATTTACATTGTCATTTAAATTGTAATGTGGAGAGGGGGGCGGTGTGATCACTTTTTATCTTTTTTTTTTCACTTTCTCTTTAAGAGATGCTGGAGTGGTATCTTTCTAGCCTTCATAGCAAGCAACGGCAGATATGTATCATAGTATTCACGGTTGTATATGGGGTAAAAAAGAAGAGCCCACTTGATGGTTGGTTTAAAAGGTCCTAGTCGATGTGATATGCTTTTCAAAAAAATGATCTAGTTGAAGCATTTGAAGTACTGAAATTTGATGATTTCAGTGTCTTACAAAAGTATGATGCGTAATGGGAAAATTTACATGTTCCTAGAAATTTTCATGTGTTATGGATGTGCCAACTATTATTATCCACATGAGGTTTGGTGATAGGACAATGGGCATCCTACTTCCACAATTATGACGTCAAATTAACGGGCCATTACATTACATGATATAATATGCCACTGGCTGAAAACTGTTGTTCTAAAGTTTGAAAGATGCCATCTGCTGGGATTTTGTTAGTTCATGGACACTATAATTATAATTTGTTTCGTTGAAGCATTATTGCATTCATAGAAATGTCTAACCAGTAACCAGTAAAGTTTTAGCGACTTGCAGGAATGGAATAGATCAAACAGAGAATGCAAATATATTTGGACAGTAATAGGGATGATAGGGGTAAAGAGTGAGAGCCCATTGCTTTTGTTCCTACCCATGTGCTGTAGTAAACTGGTTTACAAAACATGCAAGGCTAAACCATATAAAACATCCTTTCCTAAGTCTCAAACAATCCAATTTTTCAGGATGCACATCACCGAAAAATTGAGAGAACGACATCTATCTATCTTCTATTATATACTAAAAGTCCATTAAACTTCCTACAAACGCTCTCAAGTCGCCATGTAGCCTCCTACAAACGCTCCTAGATTGCCACGTGGCATTCTATAATCTCACCGTCGATTTTCTTTTAAATCGGTGGACCTGTTAATTTTAACCATTAGATCTCCATAAAAAAATAAATCTGGTATCCCACTTTTTTTGAAAAAAAATGACGTGTTTGCTATAACTAATATATAGAAAAAGAAATAGGAGGAGAACGTACACCATCATTGGGATCAGGTGAGGATCGGGCAGGGTATGTACGTTCCCTTTTTTTTTTTCCACTGGCGTACATACATTACTATACGTAAGTATTATTTGTTTCGCCTTTTTTTTTTTTTTTTGCAAACAGTACGTTTCGTTTACACCTTCGGCAAACAGTACTACTACTACGCGTATAGTAAGTACACAACGGGAGTTTAGGAGGAAGTGTTAATAGATATAAAATCACATTATACAGATTTAGATATTTTTCTTTTTTTCAGAATTTTTAATATTACTTTTAGTTTAGAGATATGACATGTGGTGATCTACGAGCGTTTATAAGAGTGTCACGTGATGGCCTAAGAGTGTTTATAGGAAGCTCAATGAGTTTTTATACTAAAAACCAATTAAATTTCCTATAAACGCTCTCGGCCGCCACATGGCATTCTTCTAGATCGTCACGTTGTATTCTATAATCACACCGTAAACTTTCTTTTGAATTGATGGACCTGTTAATTTTAACCATTAGATCACCATCTCGAAGAAAATAAATCTGGTATCCCAACCACCAACACCTTACCTACATGAGATAAAAAAACAAATGCAGTATGTACTCCTTCGACCCTCCGAATCTCCCCTCCTCTCCTATTTTCTAATTAACACTCAATATATCAAAAATTAATTCGGACATCTAAATGATCATAACTCCCAAGTTACAATTTTATTCTCAGTTTTTGTCAATTGTTGTGTTATTTATAATGAAATATAAAATTTAAAATCCATATTGCTCATATTTTGTTATCTAAAAATTAGATCATGCAGCCGTTCTAACTACAAATGTCTGGGCCTAATGGTATGCCCATAAACACTTGTAAGTCGATCGCCACGTAACACTTTAATAAATTAAAAAAATCTATAAGTGTGACAAATAAAAATAAAATATCTAACCATTGTTTCCACTTAAATTGATGGATCCACTATCTTATATGGTTAGGTCTCCCTTTAAAAGAAAATCCTAAAACTCCCTCCCTCCTGTTCCTCTCTCCCTACCATTCCTTCTATGGTCTTTTTATCTCCATAGCAACTAAATCCAAAATTATCTTTACGGGAAAAAAAAAACTCCCACAAAATAGACTTTGCCTAACCAGTCTAGCCAGCTTTCTCCTCAAGCTAGCACTTATAGTAAAAAACATAAATTATACTTTAAAATAATCATAAATTTGTATACCGTATATTCAATTTATGATATTTCTAAACTATTGTAATTTTAAATTAAATCAATAATTTAATATACGTATTGACTTGCATTGTGGACTACATCTATCCACCCTGAAGCCTCCAATAAATAAAATAAAATACTAAAATTTCTTATTAAAAATTAAAATATCCCACCTTATGTTTTTAAAAAAGGGTCAACTCATTATTTATACCATGCTAGACATCTAATGACCTTTTTCCTCCTGTTTCAAATCACAAGCCATTTTAAATTTTTGTCTATGTCAAATTACTTGAATTAGTTTATAAAAAACATAATAACATTTTCAACACAAAACAATTATATTATAAAAGCATATTAAATTTTGAATTCGATAAATATAATTTGGTGTTATAAATATTGATATATTTTTTCTCATCAGTGGAAGTAGTTAATTTCTCTTAACATGCATATTGGGGCTATTTACTTATACTTGATCTTAGATGCGCTTTTATGAATAAATGATCTTTTTAGAGATAAATAATCTTTCCTAAGATGATCATAACATCTAAATTGTACATATGATATCTGTTGCCACTAATAGATTAGAGAAAAAACTTTTAATTATATCATTTTTTCATGTCATAACGTGTACCCCGTCTAGGATCTATTTGTCATAGACAACATATTGAAAACATTTAAGAATGCCTTTATCCCATGCCAAGTTGTATGGCCTTAACCCACTTATATTTCTATTCCAACTTGTAGAGATCAAAACATTTAAGGGATGCTGGATGAATGGAAATCTAGAAAAAATAATAATAACATGATAAAAATAATTGAAGACTGAACTTTTCTTTTCTAAATTTAACATTTTTTTATTTGAAACCCATTCTCAATGTTCAAATATTTTAGGAGTACTGATATAATGAAAATAACTAAAAGTTTAAATAAAATATAATAGGAAATTTGACTTTTCGGCATTATGTTGGAAACAAAATCTAACACAATTTCACTTCAAAGTATACAACCATAAACTACAACTTGGGAGCAATAAAAGTCTCATTTTCTAATATATTTTCTGATTGAGAAAAACATTTATCGCTAAACCGCAGTTTCATACTTTAATACTATATACTTACAATTAAATCAACATTTCAACATATTTAGCTCTTTTAATTAGATGATGTAGTCGTATTAGCCATATTTTTAGTAGAAAATATTTATGTACAAATGATATATAGTTTCATATATATTTTTTCTTATAAAACCAAAAATGCATGGTTTTAAGTAATTTTAGTTTAGAATTTATATGCCGGCGATGGTTACTAGCATTTATAGAAACACCACACAAATTATTGAAAAATTAAACATGTTTACAATTGAGTAATCATAAACATTCTTAATCAAATTTCTAACACAGTTAAATAAGATGCCCGTGCATATGCGCGGGCTACTTTTCTAGTTGTATAAATTTTTGAAGAAATTTTACGGTACTTGAAAAAGTATCTTTATGTACCAAAATTTTATACTAGATTCTAATACATCGAGGTACCTAGTATTTGGAGGTACCAAGTTTTACATTAAAAAATATTGAACCCCCGATACTTTCTCAAGAATAATAAAATTACCTGGACTTTTAATGTCATCCAAGAGGTGCCATAATAACCCATATTTCCAATATAAATACGAGTGAAGGGTAATGAAAACATGAGTTGTTAATTTTTAATTCTAGTGAAAAGTCTAAGACGATTTATATTTGAATTCAGATAAAGTATATAGCATCATTTACTGAGGAGGTACCACAAATTAAATACCTCGTGATACCTAAATCGCGGAATCAGTTGAGTTACTCCTTATGCAACAACTCAGCGTACCATCATTCATTGATTCATGCGTCAATATACATCGGGTCACCATTGTCCATTAATCATCATATACGCTGCATATCTTGGAAGCAACCGAAATAAATCGTGAAAGCAACACTGCATTTGGACGGCCTCCAATTAAATCATGCTTAGTAATTGATCAACCCAGATAGGCAGATAAGGCCGGCCGACGGCCGGAGTCGAGCTAGGTTGCCGACGTGCCTTCTTCTGAACAATTTCTGTATGTAAATCAGATTAGAGCATTTTAGAGAGACAATTTTACAAGGTACCACATATTTTATAGTTAAATTATCAAGAGCTACTACTATCTAGTCATATATATTTGACGTTGGGAGAACTAAACCACGGCCTCATCTTTTCGTTTATACTTATGTTTATCAGCCAAAATTTAAATTTTTAATCTTAAATTTGGAGTTGATTTTGAGGTTTTTTCATCATAGTTTATTTTTTATCATTTGCTTTTAGATCGTTAAGAACACTTATATACAAGTTTTATTTACAAATATGCTGTTTGGTTTATTCCTCGAATAAATTAGCGTTAGTAAGTCCTTACATCCTCTTAAATACTGTAAAAAAAACTTGTCAATTTACAATCCCGATGAGGACTGGTATATCCGGACTTTTTGGACAAGGTAAAAAATAGAAACAACTCGGTTTTTCAGTTATCTCTGAAAAAAATTCAAACTGAAATTTTAAACTTTTGATAAGATTTTTCCAGATTTTGTAGGTTTATCTTTGGTTTCTGTGAAATCTAAAGATATCGCTGATCCAGTATCAGGATTGTGAACCATGTCTAGAAGCAGTGTACATAAGATACTGCTATAAGTGTCAGTTGATTCCTGCAACAATGGAGCTGTGTCCAGAACAGCGAACCAACACATCTTCAGGAATGTATGCTTTTGTATGCTTTCCTAGCAAGTGTACAATGAAAAATCAAGACAAGACAGAAAGGAAGTGACAAATTTGTCTCAATGTATCAACATGGTTGCTTCTGAATTAGAGTTTTAAGTGTAAAGTTGATGATGGAGACAACCTTCACATGCTTTGCTGGGAGCCATATCAGCATGACAGCATCAGTCCCCTTCCACCCCTACTTCTGTTTAGCAATTTGGCATTGATTGGATTAGCAGCAGACAAAAATTCAGAGAAGAAACATAGCAACAGATTAGCAGCAGACAAAAATTCAGAGATGAAACATAGCAACAGATTAGCAGCAGACAAAAATTCAGAGATGAAACATAGCAACAGATTAGGAGCAGACAAAAATTCAGAGAAGAAAACATAGCAACCAACGAGTGCAGAATCTAGTAAGCCAACTCATTCTCTCGTGAGAAGAACAAGAGGCAGCACAAAAGCAAAAGTTCGCACGAGTTGTACCAGGAAGCAAACACCAAACAAACAAACAGTAGTACAGTACCTCCTCTACTTGTCTGCAGGAGCAGCTAGGACCACGGTGAAATCAGGTTTACTGCCATTTGCATTTTACACCTGCATCTCCATCAGACTACTGTACGGTCAGGATATGGCAATCAATACTGGTAGAAAAGCAGAACAAAACTGAAGAAATTAGATCAACATGATTGAAGCTGATTAGTGTTTACTGCCGAACAACATATGCATGATGTGAGAGAAGAAAAATCATAGATAAGTTTATTTAGTCTGTAATAGAAACGAGTGGTGTGTACATGTCTCAAGAATCAGTGACGTAGCTGAAGATTTGAGCATTTAAACAGTAGCAGTATGCAGAGGAAGTACCAGATATGCAAGAGATCCGATGGAACACTGCAAGAAAATCTATCCAGACATTGTCTTGTTCATTGTTGTACATAGTATATACAAAAAATGGAAGTACAAAACAGTGCAAGAAGCAGATCCTATCACTGTTATTAAGTGCTGCATTACTCAAGAACAGTAAAGAGTAATGGCACCACCTCATTCATACAGCACAGCAGGATCAAACCAAACTCTGAATCTGCTTCTTTTGTTCTTTGTTAACTGTACGGATCACACACACACACACAAACAAACAAAAATGCTCTAACAATTATTCAGAAATGAGGAAAAGCCAAAAAAAAATCAGTAAAGAGGAAAAGCAATAATAATAATAATAAAAAACGATCCTACACTACACAATCACACCAATCTCTCAGTATATGACCTGTCCATGATGTTGTTTTTCCCCAGACATGATGATAATCTTATCTCCCATAAAAGAAAATCTAATCTAAGTTGGAAGTTGTAATCAAAGGACACATATTTGGTTTGATGGTTTGGTAAATTCCATCATCAAATGAGGCAATGAAGAAGCTGTTGAAGAAGAAGAAGATGGTGAAGTCAAGGTGGGGACTTGAAGGCCTCGACGAGGAGGGAGAAGGCCGGCGCGGCGGCCTCCTCCTCCAGCCATAGGCGGCTCTCGAGCGCGCTCCTCGCCCGGAGCATCACCACCGCCCAGCCCGGCGCCGGCGGCTCTCGCCGGAACCACCACCCGTGGAGGTCCCACATCACGTCCACGGGCTGGCCGTCGACGAACACCGTCTGGTTCCCCCTGAAGTTCCACCGGAGCCGCCGCGCCTGCACCGCGCGCTTCCCGTCGATGCTCACCCACAGCTCGTCCCCGCCGCCGCCGCCGCCGCCGCCAGGCGCGCACCCCACGCTCACCTCGTGCTCCGCCCCGCCCTCCGCGAACCGGGCGCGCGCGGTGTGCGTCACCGCCGCCGCCGCGTCCGACGACACCGCCACCACCACGCGCTCCCCGCGCGCGAACGGCGCCGCCATGGGGATCTGTGTCGTCCCCTCGAACTTGGCCTTGACGAACTCCGCCGCCAGGTCGCCCAACGCGAGCACCACCTCCGCGCTTTCCACGGCCACCACCACGTAGTACCCGGACACCGGCTCCGGCGACGCCGCCGGGTCGAACCGCGCCGCGGTCAGGTCCCAGAACAGCGCGAGCCGCGGCGACGACGCCGACAACTCCGACTCCGACTCCACCGCCTCATCCTCCCCGGAGGACAGCACGGAGCAAGAACCCCTCCGGCGGCGGACGAGCACCTTGCGACCGGACGCCGAGGGGGAGAACGACAGGGTGGGGCCGAGCGGGGAGTGCGCCCAGGTGAGCCGGAGCTGCAGCGGCGGCGACGACGACGACGCGAGCGCGACGCGGTACGAGGCGGTGACGGAGAGCGTGGACGGCTGCGCCTGCACGGCGGCGGAGCCCCTCCGGGTGCGGGTGGAGGACGGCGCGGTGCAGGCGGCGCCGTCGCCGATGCAGGAGGCGAAGTCGCGCACGGACGACGGGAGCAGGAGGCTTGACGCGCTCACCATGGCCTCGAGCTAGCTCGAGCTCGTCGCGGGAGATCTGCGGCGAGGTGGAGTGGAGCTAAGAGAGGAGGAGGAGGAGGAGTGAACTTATTATGGCGGAGGCGACGAGTTTTAACCAGTAACTGCCGGCGCGGGGAGAGGAGAGGAAGAGGAAGAGGAGGAAGCTTCGGATTTAAGTGCGTCGAGGAGTGTGCTCGCCGTTGGATCGTGAGGCGGTGATCAAGAGCCGTCGGATCGATCGTGCTGGCGTATGAGGTTTGAATTGAAACAGGGGAATTCGAACAGTTTTTCTTGTGAAAAATGAACTTCATTTTTTTGGTTGTGTTCGGCCGCTGCACCTGCACCGCAGAAATACCAACAGCTATGTACTGTTAGCTGCAGCTGCTGTAACCATACCTGTAGTGTCTCTTAAAATATTTTTTTATAAAGATAATGGCTCTTAAAATAATAGGAATGAAACAGGGGAATTTGAACAGTTTCCTAATGAAAATTGAACTGTTTTTCGTTGTACCAAACAACCCCTCTCTTAAGAAATTGGCGAAATTTGTTACATGATATTGCGAGTAAAACAGCTTGAGGATATTTTTTAAAATTAATAATTTTCTGAAGTACACTATAAACATTATTATTTTTGGTTCAGATGAGTAACCTCTGGGTTGGTTCGATGTGTATTTCTAATGTGTTGGAGGGAGTATTGGGGGAGGAATGAGAATTGTCTTTTCTACACAGTTTCTCTCTTCATTTGGTAAAAAGAAAATGATAAAAATAATGGCTACCGTGTCCTTTAATAAATTACTAATTTTTAGTGTGTTCTCAAGCCGTATCACTTTTCTACGGTATCTAGGAGTAAGATTATATACTTTGAGTGCACTATAGTAAATTTTACATAAGAAATTACCGTTATACTGTACCATAGTAGGTGATTATAAAAATAATACTCTTTCCATCCTAATTTGATCTCCTCTAAGTAAATAACATCGTGACCAATAACACCAAGATATACTTACATCATTTTGAAATTAATTCTCACCTATCAAGGTCCTCCATCACTTCGTGTCCAATAAAAATTAATTCACATTTTAAATGTTGCATGGATTAAACCAATAGAAATTGATTGGTTGCATGTGTGTATGCACATTTATTTTTTGCACAAATAACAAAGAGACACTTTGTTAGATAATGATTATTTTGGAAAAACCTAAAAAAGCTTATGTGATGACTGATGATTAAATTGGGATGGAGAGAGTAGTTGGTATGGTTTATGTACATAAAGCTTTGCACTTGTTGCTCATTAGGGTTCACAATTTCAACGAATTTCACGTGGATTAGTTTTAGTCCTCTCGAGGTGGCTCGAAATGTTTGTCTCTCTAAAAGTTTTTCAAATTCATTTAAAATATGTCAAATAAAAAATTTGTTCGAAATTAGGGGAAAAAAAGGACTTGCCAAACGAGATTGTACGATGAAGCTCTTTTGGAACGTAGGAATTTCAACTGTCTCTCAAGGGAATTCAAACTGTCCTTTTCTTTTTTGGTGAAATTTGATCCGAATGTTTTTCCTCGATTGATCACTCGTACAGTCGACCATGTCGCCATGCATATGGATGCACAGGAGTCGATCAGTGTGGCAGTGTCGCAATCCGGGTGCAGTCACGAGTTAGTTGGGGAACCGGTGAGGAGGGAACATGTGAGAAGCGTCCAACCGGCAGGAAAACGCAGAATGCATGTCTGCAAGAGCCCACAGCATCATATCATCATGGATGGATGGATCAGCTCAAAAAAAAAAAGACCCGAGATTTGAGCGAAGAGACATCCTCGGAACATTTGTTAAGAAAAAATTATGAGAGCGTAGAGAATTGAACACGGGATTTTAAAGTTAAAACTACACATCTCTTATCGCTCCACGATCAACTGTAAGGTAGCAACCGTTTTGATTCCGGCTAATCTGTATGATAATCATTTCAATCTTCTCACGGAGTGAGATCATGATCATCGCGTCCTGGAATCAGAAATTCTGTTGCCTCTCTCTCTCCAGTTCCAATCCTGTGGGTTCAGGAATTTGCACGGTAAAAGAACTTGAGGAGGTCAAATGAGTTCAGAGAAAAAGAATTGAGATCAAATGGTTGGGAGAGGATTCAGCCGTGCCTCGAATCCCTGAACTTCACCGTGTCAAATGGTCTTGAAAAGAAAAACGTGTCGAATGGTTTCACAGTGGTGAAAGAAATGGTCCATCCATGTGGCATTTGACCTTCTCTTTTTCCATTAAAAAAAATCTAACCTTCCATTCATGTGTGTTTTTTATTCACTGTAACCATGGCTTTTCTCTGCGTGTAGCACAATATATCATGTTCATTTTCTATCTTAAAATAGAACAACTTATATCCTTTTCTAAGAGACTAAGGCTATGTTCGTTGGGGGTTAGGAACCATCCTGTCGACGTTTGATGTCGCGACTACGGTATTTGCATAGTATGGATATCGTTGGTACTAGCATATACGCGAGACTGAGGTAAAAGAGATGGAGACGGGGATTTTTATACATGTTCGGGCCCCTGAATTATCAAGTAATAACCCTACATCCTGTTGGCCGAAGCCGGTATTGCTCTTATTCATGATAATCACACCAGTACAATATTTGAGCCTATCTAACTGTTGTCGACCTGGCGGTCTGACAATCTAACTCGTAGTCGACAACAGGGTAGCCTTCCTCCTCGAATCCATGCCTGGCGAGATCAGAGATAGCGCTTTTGTCTCTCCTGACAGTATCCGGAGACACCGTAGGGTACTAGCCGTGCTTATCCCTGAAGTCGATATCCGGCGGCATGTCTTGGCGTATGTAGACTTCTATGTTGTGGCTTCTATGTCGATTGTGTTGGGTGTTGATCCTCCTCCCTCTCCTCCTAGGGGGGCTTGTATTTATACCTATAGGTGTCCCCTTGTCCAAGTAGAACTAGGGAAACCAATATGGATACAATCCGAGTAGTCCTTATCGTTTCCATGTAGAACTCTGGATGTCTTTCCTTATCCGGAACCCCTCCTATATCCGCAGGTTGTTTCCGTATAGGACATGGTATGAGGTGGGTCCTGCTGAGATTTAGTCAACTACTATTAGGTATGTGGTATCCATAACCCTAACAGTAGCCCCCGACTTCAATGCAAATGAACGAGTTCATATTCTCAACCGCGCGCAGACCTTGGAGTAACTGTTATCGAGCTCACGTGACCGTTCTCGGTGAGTTCAGAGATAACGTTAGACTTCCTTTATCAGCCTCGTGAGGGCACCTAAAGGGTTTGTCTGAGTCAATCTCCGACGTTAACCAAAAAAGTACAGAGCATGCGACTAAGTCTCCCGTCTTGCTGTAATCGAGAATTTGGATTGAAGTCAAGAAACTTTATCTCGGCGGGTACACCATCTCTTCATTCCGTATTCCTTGTCGAGATCCACCAATCGTTCTCGAGCGATCGAGAAGGCGTAGAATCTGCGACGAAGTCTTGTCGACATTTGTCGTACTCGCCTTAGTCGATCTTGGTGTAGAACCATAGAGACATGGAGCCTTCGATAATGTCGAATAGAATTTTCCTGAAATCAATACTCAGAAAAGAATATTAGATAGAAATAGCCCCCGAGCGAACGCTCAAAGGATGACATGTTATAATATGTATGGAAAACCGAAAATGAATTAAATTTACAGACCAATGTTTTGTATATGAGCGTCTACTCTTTTACCGACTTTGATCAGTCAGTTTGTTGAGTTATACACTCTTCCTAGCCCCCAGCCTTGTCATCGGAGAGGCATTCTCGGGAGATAAGGCTCTTAGACCTTTGACCTGCCTCGGTTGAACAAGCACTGATCCTAGCCCCCAGCCGTGAAGTTGGAAAATCCATTTCCGATTACACGGCTTGGTTAATACGCACGGCGAGAACTCTTACACGACTAGATCTTATACGGTCTTTCATCTCTGAAGGATCCGACAAGGCCTTATCGGCTCTGGGCGTCCCCAGCCGAAGTTCCCTTAGGTTCCTCGGAGGCCTTGTCAAGACGGCGTAAAGGGACATTAGGATAGGTTTCAACGCTAGGTGTCTTTTGTGGTAAGGGATCTCTGGGTAAAACACTTGGCGATATTGTGTATCTGATGTCAACTTTGTTGGAGTAGAGGTAATGTAAGAATCGCTACACCTCTGGTCGAGGACCAGGTGGTAGTCGCAACTCGACCACTAGAAGTAGAAATAGTGGGAGAATCGCTACACCGCTGGTCGAGAACCAGATGTAGTATAAACTCGACCACTAGAAATAAAGGTAGTGGGAGAATCGCTACACCACAGATCGAGAACCAGGTGTAGTTTAAACTCGACCACTAGAAGTAGAAATAGAGGGAGAATCGCTACACCGCTGGTCAAGAACCAGATGTAGTCTAAACTCGACCACTAGAAGTAAAGGTAGTGGGAGAATCGCTACACCGTAGATCGAGAACCAGGTGTAGTCTAAACTCGACCACTAGAAGTCAGGGTAGTGGGAGAATCGCTACACCGCTGGTCGAGAACCAAATGTAGTCTAAACTTGACCACTAGAAGTCAGGGTAGTGGGAGAATTGCTACTCCGCTGGTCGAGAACCAGATGTAGTCTAAACTCGACCACTAGAAGTTAGGGTAGTGGGAGAATCGCTACACCGCTAGTCGAGAACCAGATGTAGTCTAAACTCGACCAGTAGAAGTAAAGGTAGTGGGAGAATCGCTACACCGCAGATCGAGAACCAGGTGTAGTCTAAACTCGACCACTAGAAGTAAAGGTAGTGGGAGAATCGCTACACCGCAGATCGAGAACCAGGTGTAGTCTAAACTCGACCACTAGAAGTCAGGGTAGTGGGAGAATCGCTACACCGCTGGTCGAGAACCAGATGTAGTCTAAACTCGACCACTAGAAGTCAGGGTAGTGGGAGAATCGCTACACCGCTGGTCGAGAACCAGATGTAGTCTAAACTCGACCACTAGAAGTCAGGGTAGTGGGATAATCGCTACACCGCTGGTCGAGAACCAGGTGTAGTCTAAACTCGACCACTAGAAGTAAATGTACGAGAGATCGCTACGATTGAGTGGTTGAGAACCAGTGAGTAGGTGTCTCTCGATCATTTGGAGTCGTGGTACGAGGACCGTTACGCTGCCGGTCGAAGACTAGTCGTAGCTGTTCCTCAACCATCTGAAGTCATGGTGCGAGGACCGCTGCATTATTGCTGTAGTCGTACCTCGACCATCCGAAGTTAAGGTGCGAGGACCGCTGCGTTATTGCTGTAGTTGTACCTCGACCATCCGAAGTTAAGGTGCGAGAGATTGCTACGTTTTACTAGTTCGA